GTCGTTCCATTAAATCCACGCTCTCCCTTCAAAAAAGAAACAATAATACAAGAGTTATACCAATCCCTCAATGGAGCAAATTATTTTTACAATTCTTCTTATAAATCTACCTTTTCCCCCGGGTCTCCCTTTTTCCCTGGGAATCCCAATCTTCCGGTTTTTCCGTCCTGTCCTACTTCCCCTTTCTCTCCTTTGATTCCTTGCTCCCCGATGGTCCCCTGAACGCAAAAAGAACATCGTTAGGAGCTTCATAACAATCAAATGGGCCATGAAAAGAGGAGAATACAGATAAAAATCGACGATTTCATTTTTCTTCGGCTCCGATATTCATTTGATATGGATGTTTCTTAAACTAAATGTTACCTTTTCTCCTTTCTTGCCCGGAAAACCAATCCTTCCAATATCACCCTGAAAAGATAACTCTCTTATTTCAGTCTTGGATCAACAAAATAAAAAACATTTTTTTATTCGATATCGATCAAATCCTTGAGAGCGTTACAGCTTAAAAAAAATTGAAATTCCACATCGCCGGGGTTTACGAGTCTAGAGACATTTTCTAGCTTTCTGTAAATGTCGAAAGCTGTAAACAAAGTTTACAAGGCACCAACAAAACAAGCAAGGCCGACCGAAGATTAACAATGTGATCCACTATCTGCTAGAATCCCCAATCCAGTACTATTTTTTTTTGCCAATCAGCGGTCCGCAGATTTTTCTCCAATCGGCCCCATTTTTTCAAAAGTCCTCACTCAATCAGTTTTTTAAACCCAACTCCGCTGATGAGCAAACCTATTTACTCATCAGTTACCACTGAAAAGTTCTGTTCACCTTGTCGCCTTTTTGTGCAGAAATCTGAGCTGATGATTCTCCTCCAGTATTCGTCTCCTAAGTTAAAAAAAAAACATCACACACGTATTATTTGATGCCAATTTCATACAGAAAGGAAATTAAAGAAAAGAAAAATAATGGTAAAATTGACAAACAAGTTTGACACACTTACCGTTGTTACACCAGGGGGCCCCGGAGGCCCCGGAAGCCCAGGTGGTCCTTGGATACTTTCACCAGGCTCCCCCTGAAAAAGAGGTAAATAACAATGAAAAAGAGGTGATTTCCGATACTTGATTAGACGTCGCTATCAATTTTTTGTGCCATAAATAAACTGACTTAAGAAGTAAATGCACCTGATATTAAGAAAATTTGCTTTGCGAGTAAGTGTAGAAATAATGAATGCATGAATGAATGAATGAATGAATGAAATAATGGCCTTCTAACTGACTGACCATCTGACCGTATGAACCTACCTTCTGCCCATCAGAGCCATTCCTACCCTCATCACCCTAGAAAGGCATTCAATAACTTCATTAGTATCACTAAAATGGAGTTATCATAAGAATCAATGCCAACTATCGTAATTCATACAGTGAATCCGATCAGGGTCTGGAACCAAATCGTACCTTAGCGCCTTTTATGCCCTTTAAACCTGGAAATCCAATGGTTCCGCGTTTTCCCTGAGAAAAAATTAAGTAAAACAAAGCAGAGTCAGTTCTCGCTACCTGCTTAAAATGCAACAAGTAAATTTATTCTAAAGAAAGCTCAAGTTTTGCTTGGCCCCCTTTATGGCAATTCTCAATTGAGTTCAAAATCAATCTGGGATTCTATTGGTTTTCTTTCTTTTCTCGTCCTGTTATTGGTTCAGAATATTTATCGTCAGTCTCAACCAATCAGGTGCAAAACTAAACTAATATTTCTCTTTTGGCTTTGTTCGTTGCTCATAACTGACGCTAAAACAATCACGTGGCTCAAGCAACGAATTACAAACAAGAAATTTTGTATCTTAAAAATCATACACACGGCAGAACTCAAACCTGGTCTCCTTTGAATCCTGTCTCACCCTTTTGTCCCGCGGGACCCTGGGCTCCAGGCACTCCCTAATAGGTATGAGAAATAACAGATATTGCTTTTTTTATGATCTAAGAGAAAAAAGAAGGGACAAACAATTCGACGGATGAGCGTTGTTTAATAAAGGGGTTTCACATAGTAACTGGTTTGAAATATACACTAGCATTTGGTTGTACAGACTAATTGAAGTAGCAGGGAGGCTGATGTAGTGATGACAATGAAATCACGCAAAAACTGACCAATTTTTTCCAGATCTATAGGGGTTGCTCACCTCACCGTTGGGACCTTGAGCACCTGGATCACCTTTCTTACCAGGAAATCCAATCGGGCCTGGTCGTCCTGTGGCACCCTACAAAGCAAATATTCATAGGATGCAATGCTGAGCTTGTCATTCAGAGGAAAGATATACGATGACGCGATCAATAACACACTTTATGTTACCCACCTTTCTACCAGGAAAACCAATACTCCCTTGCTCGCCTTTTTCTCCCTGCAAAAAAAACAACAACAAAAACAAAACAAAAAGTACCGGTTAAATGTTAAAAATACACTGTAATAAGGTTGAATAAATCATTGAATCTTGTTACAATGAACAGCTATAAGTCCTGTGTCACCTGCGGTCCTCGTTCTCCTTGAGAACCGTTATTTCCTTGCTCTCCCTTGCTTCCCTGGAAGAAAAATCAAGCTTTGTGCATCAGAAAACACGTAGCATACACAGCGCTCTTTTTTGGAATGAAGTTAACACTCTTGCAGTCTATCTACCTTTTCGGTAATTGCTGGGACGGTTGGACCGGGAGGTCCTGGTGGGCCCTGCGGACCAGTCTCACCAGGCTCCCCTGCTTCACCTTTGAGTCCAACGCCTTGATCTCCCTGAGAAAGACAGAGGACAAAACCAGTGTAACGCGTGACTCAAACGGAAACGTTTTCCTCAATTCCAGGTTAAGTGAAATTTTTTGGGGCAACAGAGGCGGTCTTTTTTAAACTGTGTAGCTTTGTGACATCGTCAGTTTTTAAAAAAGTCATCAGACTGGCATATGGAGTGAAATCAACATTTGCGAGGATCATCATCCAGGCTTATTAGGAGAAGACCTTTGCCTTGAGTTTTAATAACTGAATGAGCGGGCTCACCTTTTCTCCTTTCAAACCGTTTTCTCCTTGAGAGCCCTGTGGGAAGAGAAAAAACCCGTCGGAAGTTATGAAAAGATGGATTAGTCCAAATCTCTTTCCCAGGGTCCCTCCTCTTTCTGCCCTTTATTGTTGCATTAGAGAACCCTTGGAACGAGGTCTAATTTAAACCTTGAAACAGTTTAATTTAAACCTTGATCGCGAGTAAAATAAGGATTCTTGCCTTTTCAATCGTCTGATTTTCTTTGAAAATTTAAGGTTGAGTTCGCGTAAGGAAGCAGCATTATTCTAATTCGTAACTGAATATAATAAATAACTATGAAAACGTTTTGACACAGACATTTGCAGCTTTAAAAGTTATAGGTCGATAGCTCAATCCTTTAAACAAATCAAGACTAAATTTCCGTCTTCTATTTGTTGTAATCAGGATCATTTACCAGTTCTCCTTTCTGACCCCTCTCTCCGGGATCCCCCACAGGCCCTTGCGGTCCTTCTTCTCCCTGACAAAAAATCACAAAGTAAACATGACAACGGCGACATTCCAACATTGTACTTTGAAGGTGACACGTTATATACTGACCTGTGATCCTTTTTTTCCTCTCATTCCAGGAAAGCCTAAAGACCCAGGTTTACCCTGGGGGCAAAAAACAGAACCAAAACACTCTCAAAATGCTGCGAGGTCAAAACAAACAAAAAACTCGAGAGCAGCAAAAATAATATTGACGTCTACATTTAACCGCGAGAAACATTTTAGAAGTGCAGAACTCCTGCAGTAACTTCTGTTTTCTACTTTGTGTCCTTATAAACGAGTAATTTTTTCGTTCTAGAAGGCCATAGTGCTATTTTTCAACAAATTTTAATGAAAATTAAGTGATGGATAAATCAAAGTCGAACCTTTTCTCCTTTTGGCCCAGGCTCCCCCTTGTCTCCTGGCTCCCCGCTTTCATTCTTTCCATTGTTGCCCGGCAACCCAGGAAGACCGGGGGGTCCCTGAGGACCCATGGGTCCGATGTCCCCTTTGGTAAAGTTACAATTACAAGAATCTCCACTCTCGCCTTTTTCTCCTTTGGCACCTGAAGATAGAGAGAAGGAAACATTACACTGGCAGGTATTCGCTTAATTGCAGCGCACACAAAAATTTGATGTATGACATCGGAATTAATGCAAAAAGAGTGAATTCGTTTTATTCTGTGAAAAGCATAGAAATCGTCACAAAAATTGCGACCCAGTTATTGGGTTCATTTACTCAAAAAAATAGAAAGAAAAAAAGGAGTAATAAAAACATAGTTCTTCACCACATATATCAAAATTGCGAGGGCAATAGTGATATTCCTGATTCAAGTTTGCAAACCTACAAGACATCGTGAATTTTACCAAGTTCCTTTCAAAAGCCTCAATTACTTCTTCAAAATAACATTAGGTTAGAATATGACTCCAGAGTAGCTCATGTACCTTGAGGCCCAGGGGAGGTACCAGCATCTCCCTTCTGTCCTTTAGTTCCATTCCTTCCATCAACTCCTCTTTCACCCTTCGCTCCAGGTTCCCCAGCTTGTCCAGGTTCTCCCTTAATGCCCTCAAATGCACCTGAATCCCCTGGGGGTCCTGGTGGACCCGGAGCTCCTTGGTCTCCTTTCTCGGGTCTAAGAATCACCTCCATCATGGACGCATCCCCTTTGGACCCCGGTGGTCCTGGCGGACCTGGTGGGCCCATAATGCTGTTCCCTTTAGAGCCCTGCAAGTTCAGGATTCACTTAACCGATAAAGACCGCCAACGTGTGTTTCAATAGCAATCTGCACGATGCAAAAGCCCGAAAAGTTAATATGCTAGGCACACATTCAGAAATCCTTCATGCATTTCTTCGTTAGATTGATAACTCGTTCGCTGATAACCTGTTTTGGTTTGTTAGTTCGTTCGCGTGTTAATGCGCTAGTGCGCTAGCAAGTTAGTTTGTTGGTTCCTTAGTTCATTTGTTCGTTAGCGCGCCAATGCGCTTCTTCGCCCGTATGTTTTTTAGTTCGTTTGTTAATAAGCGCCCTAATGTTCTATTTCACTTGTTAGTCTTTTGGTTCGTTAGTTCGTTAGTTCGCTAGTGCGCTACTTCGCTAGTGCGCTACTTCGCATGTTCGTTTTTTAGTTCGTTACTTCGTTAATTCGTTAGCGCGCAAGTGCGCCACTTCACTAGCTGTTTTTTGGTTCGTTAGTTTCTTTGTTGGCTTGTTTGTTTGTTTGTTGTTTTGTTTGTTTGTTTGTTGTTTTGTTTGTTTATCAGTTCGTTGGTTCGTTAATTCGTTGATTCGTTGGTTCATAACTTCGCTATTAGTGAGTTCTTGTTTTCGTTTGCTTGGTAGTTGGGAGTTTGTGAATTCGTTAGCTCTTGAGTTTTTTCGTGTAATGACGTGACTTACCTTCGGTCCCGGGGGTCCTGGAACTCCATCATCTCCCTGTTATCAGACAACATATCAGTTTTAGAAACAACAACCTCCATTTGGCGCGAAAACATGATCGGATATTTGTCCACAACCATTACCTGTTTCCAAGAAGCGAGCAGTTTTCCGAGAGGGAAGCTCGAGGAAAACTGTAAGCTTCAAAGAGCAGTTAAAGTCCATGAGATTCAATGATCTCTTTTCACGCATGAGTTATATTAAAAATCAACTCATCTATATCAATCAGTCAATTGGTGCTATCTCAAGGCTTCCTTCGGTTAAATCGATATACCTCTCAAGATCCGAATGAAATACCGAAAAACTTCATAGTGATATCATTAATTATTAACCGGCTGTGACTTACCATTGGACCATCCATTCCTTTTGGACCCTGAATACCTCGATCGCCCATTTGACCCTAAGTGTAAGAGATAAAGATTACATTTTTCGTTTTAATTCAGTCAAGAGTGTTTAGTCGATGCAACGGCTAAAATCACTTTCCTTCGTTAAAGAAAGATTAAGTTCGAAACACGATCACCTTATCGCCTGTTTCTCCTTTCGAGCCATCTCGTCCCGGAGTACCTCGTGGCCCTGGCATACCCTACACGTTGAAGCACATTCGCAATGCGAGATTGTATTATAAATAATTCTTTACATATGTATTGCCTTGCTAACAAGTCCGTTGACATAGCTGTACTCTACGGGGCTTTTGTCTCAGAAATATGAAATATCCAACTCTGGAAAGCTCACATAAAAGTTTAAGTACCCAAATCGCCAAAAGACAAAAAGTTGCAATAGTCATGAGTTGCACTCGGGTTCTGCTATGGCGAAGACATGATAAAAACACTATGTTTCATTAGCAGAAAAACTCACCATGCCTGGAAGTCCGATAGGTCCTGGTTCCCCAGTCATTCCGGGAAAACCTATCAATCCGGTAACCCCTCTTTCGCCCTTGAAAAAGAAAAAAAATCTTTGATTGTGATAAAAAATGTTCGTTATCTTCACTGTTACAGCATCTTCAAAAATTAAGCCTTTTTTCTAAAAATTCACAATTCACCATCTGTGTTCCATTGGTTCACTGCTGCCTCTGTTATGTTTTCCTTTCTTACCGAACTTATATGTTGTGGTTTTATTCAAGCTGATACATGATTCCGAAACTATCATACAAACTCACTTATGCCAAATGAATCATATTCAAGAAGATAGAGTTGCCCCTGTCACCCCTCCAGTAACTCTTCTGCATACTTCGTGCTTTCCATATTTTCCGCGAGCTTCATATTTCGCCGAACGCGCAGCTGACGCATGAACCATCGCTAAAATTACCTTTGGTCCAGGGGGACCCACTACTCCTCGCTGTCCTTCCGGTCCGGGCTCTCCCTAAATACAACAACGAGATAAATTAAAATTGTGAATTAAACGAGCGGATTAAATTTAAAGGCTGAAAGTGAAAACCGTGAATCAAACGTCTCATAAATAGCTGTATTTTCAAAATATTCAAAACACAAAATGTAGACATTTACACCATATTTCATAAACTCACGGACACTCAAGGTTTCATGGACAAAGTTCGAGGACATGGCGCACATTGCAAGGGCGTAGCCAGGACTTTTCAAAGGGGGATCACACTATTTCAAATAGAGGGTACTCACCAGATTGTCATGTCGACCTCCACACCGTGCTTTAATTGATGTGAAAAAAGGCTTACAAAGGGGGGTCACCGACATCCCAGGAACTCATACCCTACCTACGCCCTTGCATTGGTATCTATAGTTTTGTCTGTAGACCTTGGCAACCACAATCTGTGAACACAAGAACCTAAGTGAACTCAAAACTATTCCTCCTCACACTGATAAACAAACCTTCTGTCCGTCCATCCCGTCCATTCCTGGGTATCCTCTTTCACCCTTCGGAGGATCAACAGGCTACAAGAAAAAAAAATTAATAAAAGCTACTGTTGGGCCGAATTACATGCCAAGTAAATCATTAAATATTCAATTATGTCCTTGTATGTTGTGTTTTTATTGACGCCCAATAACAAAAAGACAGAACTTAAGTGTCACATCAGGTTTGGAAGTCTTTTAACTAACTGAATATCAGATTGTATGGACTGGTTTCTCGTATGGTTTGTCTGTCTTCAAACAAAAGACCAAAGTTCGTCTTCAACTTCCTTTATAATCTTTTTTCTTGTCAACGTCAATAGAAAGGAAGACTTAAAAACCTAAATAAAGAGATGTTTTTCGTTCTGAACCGAGCGTAAGAAAAAGTCTTTGTCCCATATGGTTGACTAAACAGATCTTCAGACTTTGCGATCTAAAGTTCTACTTCACTGAGGTACGTAACAAAGAAATTTTTCGGCGCCGATAGGAGAGATTCCTAAGTTTGCAGAGTTTTCTGTGGAACTCACCAATCCTGTCTCTGGATCAAGTATCACTCCAGGTTTTCCCGGGGTTCCCGGCGGACCAGGTAACCCCACAGTTCCCGGCGCACCCCGGTTACCGTTTTGCCCGGGTTCCCCTTTTGGACCTTGGATGTACTGGTCACATTTATCCTGTGGAAGAAACATACAGAGGAAAAATTTTTGTCGCGAAAAACTCGAACACTAAAGACACTTTCGCTTACGGGGCCTTAGTTCAAGTTGGACATCGAGTCATTGCAGGTACAACGACATACATAACTTAATTTTAATACACAAACCGTAAAACAACTTTACAGAGAAGAACACAGAATCCATTGCCGAGTCACTTAAGCACAAACTGACACTGATTACCTTATCGCAGTTTATTTCTTTTACAAATGTATACTCAGGTCCCGGTTCTCCCTAGAAAAAGAGCAGGCAGTGAGAAGATTTGCACATCCTGTTGCTCTGCGTGGAGAAGTGTTACGACAAATCAAAACATCTCCAAACGTCTTTCCTGCATCATTCACTATCATGGACCTTACCTTTTGTCCCTTGACAGTGATCACAATTTCTTCAGAATCAAAGAATACTGCTGGCCCAGGTCGTCCCGGTCGACCTCGAGAACCCTTTGGTCCCATTCCCCGCGTGCACCTTTCTTTCCTTTCACTGTCAAAACAAATATTAAATAACTCATCCGTAACGATATCTGGGCAGTCATAAAAAATTCTCCCTCTCATGGGGGACTCACTCAGCTCTCACGGGAACTGGAAAAAGCGGCTCAGAAACCTAAAACTGGAGATATTCGCGATTAAAACCACACAACTACATGGACACGAATCCAAGCTCAGGGAAGGAGTGTAGTTTTCAGTTGTCTGGGGAAACATGACATTGAGACACGGAAATCACAAGCAAGCCGAGAGAAGTGGCCTTAGTTCAAGTTTTCAAGTATTAGATGGTCAGAAAAATGTCTGTGCAAGCCTGCAGCATTGCAACTATTTCAGTAAACTAAACCTTTGGTAAGTCGCTTACCTCCATCTCGCCCTGAGTATCCCACTCTTCCTCTCGGGCCCTGTGGGCCTACAACTGAGTCTCCTTTGTCTCCTTTAGGTCCCAACAATCCCGGCGGCCCGCGGGGTCCACGTAAGCAAGTCGCGTTTGATCCCGCAGCCAGCACGTGTTTACACAGTACCTGTGTAGGAGTAAGTAAAGCAGGGATGTCAACAGCTCATGGGTTATTGCATACAGTGGAAGGAAAAAACATGAGTGGTCAAACCGACTTTCCACCCTTAGAAACAGTCTTAATGCATGCAATTTAACCAAAGTAGACGTGCAAACTAAATTTAAGTTCGTTTGTTTGGGATATGGTAAATATTTCCGGGTAACATATTTCAATACTTAACAGCTTCTCACCTCAGATGTTTTAGAAACTGTAGACACAGTGTGAGTTTCAACTGTTGATGCCTCAGTGCTGACGGTGGATGTCTTAGCTACGCTAGAAGAAGTGGACTCTAAATTATTTAAAAAAGGACCTTTGGTAGAGTTGTCTGTTTCCCCTTCAATCCTAGCAACCACAATTTCTTCGTCAGGGTCAATTTTTTGGGTAAAAGGAGGTTCAGTTTTGGTCTTTGAAGGAGTAGAAATGGTCGAAGCGGTCTCTGGTGATCTAGAACTTAGCCCTAATGCTGTTTGCGATGTTGGACTAGTAAGTAAGGGTGAGCTAGAATCTGAACTCATGGATGTTGTCGTTGCTGTTGTTGAAAGCGATTCTCTATCTGTTTTTGGGATTTGAGAGGATCCCTCTTGGCCAGGGGTTGACTTGTCCTCAACACTGTCGGTGCTCGCTTCCGTAGCTGTATCAGTTGTACCTTTTGGCAAGGATGTGGCTGGAACGCTCGTCTCTGTTACGAGTGGCTGTGTTCCTGATGTCGATTCCGTTTTCGTAGCAGCACCATTGTCTTCTAGAGTGGTAATACCAGGGGCGGAAGAAGATACAGAAACAGTCACTGGTTTTGTGCTTGTGGTAGTATCCTCCTTTGGTGAAGTTTCTGTTGTTACTTCATTAGTTGTTTTTGATGTGCTTTGCGTCAGAAGCTCTGTTCTGCCACTTGATATAGAGTCAGTGTCGTCAGTTAAAATTTTAGTTGTTTCATCCCTTCCTTCAGTGGTTTTCCGTAACGTTGTTCGTTCCGTAAAATAGACAAGATCGACGGTGCTCACCTCCTCTGTTCCTTCCTCTCCCCCACTGGTTATAAGATCATTACCCTCAGTAATGTCTCTTAAAGTTGGTCTTACTGTAGTGGAGAAACTGTTCACTGAGGTTAAGGCCGCTCGCGTCACTTCCTCTCCGCCACTGATCGTCTGATCATTGCCTTCAGTAGCTTTCCGTACAGTCGGACGTTTCGTGGTTGAGAGATAGTCGACAATACTTGAACTGTTTGTTGATACTTTTGGTATACTTGCATTGGACCTCAAGGATGGTGGATGTGCTTGTAAAGGCTTTGCTAAAGTTGTAGAGATCACTGGAGGTCTTGTTGTTGTTAATATCTTAAAGACAAAGTAGGTACAAATGTTAAAGTCACGTTTCCATATTTACTGGACTGAATTTCAGATTAAAAAAAAATGATTAGAACACTTTTTAGAACAATAAAACCCTTCAGTTATCAGCTTGCCATTCTGTCTTTTTCGTTCGTCCATAAATGTATCGCTATGAGCTGAATTGTAAACGTATTTTGCTTGGTTCTTGCATATTATCTATTAGAGGATAGACACAACAGTGACGTCACCATGAGCAACTTCAGCTTCTCTATTACTTACAACAAATAGATTACAAATAGATTCCTTGTTGCCGTGCGCCCATTCATACTTGATCACAAATGATATCAAAATGTGGCAAGAACATCAGATCAAAGTCTGTCACTTTTTTGTTCACCACATTTTGGTATCACGTGGGATCTACTACCGAACATCCGCACAGCAGTATGGGATTCATTTGATAACCAGATGCTTGCCACGTTAAGGCCTTTAAACATGCGCAGTCAGAGGAGCGAGGATCAATACTAATTCAATCGATTTTTCTGCAATTACTGTCAGACTAAATTTCGAGATGCCCGACTCCGACTCACTCTAAGAGCTCCAAACTGATACGACCTGAAGGTTACCTGCCTTGCACTCCTGATGCTGGGCCTTGTTGGGGTCACGGTGCATGGACAGTTCTGCTATATCTCCCTGAGGACGAAAAAATATATATTTAACCCTTTACACCTAACATCAACATGCATAACTTCCATATTTTCCCCTATACATTTCCTAAGGTGCTGACAAGGAAACATTTCTTGAGGAACTAAGAGCTACTTTGATAGTGATCATTTCCTCTATTCCCGTGACCTTCACGTGTGATCTAAGGGTGATATATATTATCTGGAGGAATAAGATGTTAGTAACTCTTAGGTGTTAAAGGGTTAAGAAGACTAATTTGTGCAAAAATGCTTTTTCCCTAGGAAAGCCAATGGCAGCTTTTTTCATTCAGAATTTGTTGTTACGTCAATTTCTGTTGTCTAAAGGTTTGGAAACTTAATACCGTGTCCGACGTACTTATGCGCGTTATGCGCGCTATCACAGAACTAACACTTTCCTGCCCATCCAAGCATGGCATGCTCACCTGAAAAGCACTTGACGATGCCCCCGGAGTCCATCCAGCTCTACCAATGTACAAAGCACTGTTGCGTGGAAGGGTGAAGTTACCCAGAGCCGTAGGTAAAAACTTAGTGTCAACTTCTCTACAGTCTTTGTAAAACGTGACGCCATTATTTCTAATACTAAAAGAGAGCCAAGTCCATTTGCCAGTCAGGCTAGGGACGGTAAAATCAAAAACAGTTCTCGTATTTCCGTTGTTTGCGTGAATCAAACTTATTGTAGTCCCTTCAGAAAAGGAGTCTCTGTGAATCTCAAGTCCCAAAATGACATTTCCTCGGATATGCGGCAAAAGAGCAAATACCACCCCACGTTCAGCAGATTTTGGGCGAATTACAACACTGATTGAAAATTCTTTAAAAAATCCCTTTGGAAAAATGTAGCGGGCGAAACGTCCAACATTCGCTCCAGACCGAAAGTGAAATGCTGGTTTCGTGTAAGGTCCTTTCGTGAGCGATACACCAATCGGAAGTGGGTTTCCTATTGTCCCGAGTAAGTCAACGTCTTTAAGGTTGTTGTCGGGATAACCTGCAATACGTTCAAACAAGTCAGTGTGGGTTTTATTGAGCGCATCATTTACAGTCTGTGTTATTCTTCACTTTTGACAACAATTCTCTTTTTTATTCTCCCATCTACGATGTTTTTCTACGCCAGCAAACAACAAAGCTACAACTAACTACTCTACACATTGCCTCGACTAAATCGTATGTCACCCTGATGGGGGTAAAGCAATGGTCCTCACGGAGCCTTTTTGGATCTCCACCCAGAATCAAGGAGGTCATTGAAATACCGGAAGTAGCTATTTGCGGGCCGGCATCTCAACCAAAGGGAAACCGGACCCCTCAGACTAACGTGGGCAAGATATTGCGTGTGCCTTATCAAATCTCTAAGGCAGTCTATAGGGCCACATTAATCTTAAGTAATGTTCTATCAGTCATTTAGTAGAGTGTAACAATAAATAAAGAATTTTCTGGAAAGCTATTAAAAGCTTAATCTTAACCTAATCTTCGCTTTTCAATCGCACAATATAGATGCGGGAATTTTCTGATTTTAAGATGTAATTGTTACAGAAAAGCTATCTTTTTTAAGTCTCCCGGACCTCTAGAATACGTTGGGAATGTTTTACAAGGACTCATTCGCCTAGAAGTAGCTGGTAGTAGTTGTCAGTAGAGGCCGACTGTTTGCATAAGCTATGGAGAGCTACTGTAGTCCACAATAGAGGTTTGTTTACAGTCAACGGTGATAGAAGAGATGTGAAGATAGCATGTTCACTGGCAATTTGTGTCAGCGGTGACCGAAGTTGAGCTCAGTATTGGGCTTAAGGTGATGTATTCTAGGCTGTGCTGTTTAATTGTTGCCGTGTTATAATTACCTTATGTTATATGGGTGAAAAAATTTATTGGTTTTTATAAGATTTTCTTTGTATTTTTCTGTCGGTCGGTTTACTATTGAGGTAAAACGAAAAGACGAAAGATGTCATGGTGTGAGTACGATATAGTTTCAAACAACCAATTATCTTAATGGAGTAATAGTCGTTGGATGACTTCAAGGAACAACTGACGAGTCTGTTGTCCCTCAGTGGCTTAAAATCCAGAGTAGCTAAAAATCCTGAATGGATTTTCAATACTGAGTGGCTTTAGTCTACTTTCCTTCTCAAAATAACATTCGGAAGGATTTTAAAACGGAGATCTAAATGTAGTCATCTTAAAGGGGTGCTGACAAGTTCTGGTAACCGTTTCCTGTACTACAGTTTCATTTATTCTAAGATAAGTCACGAAAATATTGTTCTTCGCTTAAAAAAGTCTTGACTAAAAGGAACATGTCTTCAGTTAAAGGAAGTTCAAATCGTTGTACATTCTTCTACAATGATCATTACAATGTGCTTTCCAAGTCCGAGTCCTTCAGTTCGTATCTTCCTGTAAGAGTGACCTACTGAAGATCATTTTTTTTGGTTGGAAAGTGGATAGGACAACCGTGAATAGGGCAATTTTCATCAGTCCTTAGATGTCTTACATAATTTACATGTCCATTTAACCCACCAACAAAGTTAAACAAAGGATTTTAATTTAACTTTTTCTGACCAGACGGACAGATGTTATAAAACAAAACTCTTGTGATTTCACCTTTGACTTGAGATCACTTGATTTTTTTTCCGTAAAGAGACAAGCTGTCTATCCTAAGAGATCTTTCCACTCAACAGAGTGCCCATCCATTTTTACCGCAGGAATGTAGCGAGGGACAAACAGAGACCGCCATCGTAACGGTTCTCTACTCACCAAGGAATACCTTTCAGTTCCTTGACCTTTACGTAGGTTCATTCAGTTGTCATCCCTTTCAGGACTATAACAGAGCTCTGACGAAACTACATCATTATTCTGTGATTCTTAGAAATTACACCTGTGTGTTTGCCTTGCATGAATTTGCTCGGGTGTGTTCGTTCAATGTGGGATTAACCAACTATTGGATCAACGAAATACGCCCAGAAAGTGTAAGTTTTCATGGCTCCATACTGACTTAACCAAGAGTATAAAAAGATGTCAGCCAAGAAAACGCCAACACTTTTGAATTCAAGCCAGAACAAATGTTGCCAGAAATGGAAAAGCCTGGTCGAGCAGAATTCGGGTTGCTCATCTTTAAGATTCGATCCTTTTATAAACAAGTGAATTCACTGAAATATAAACTAAGCTTAGTATGCATGTCTCAAGGCAGTTATTCTGGCTAAATTCTCTCCCAAAGGATATCTTATTATCCAAATCTTCCCACAGGAAACTAAGGCTGGTACATGCTCACTCAGGTTTGGTTTAATCGGTTTACTGAGCAGATCAAGTTGGAAAAGAACGTTAACGCATTAAGGTGCATTTTTGTAAATTCCATCTGAGCGTAATTCAGGCGAGTGTCATTCAAAAGAAGACTATGTCATATTCTGTTTTCCTCCTTATAATAACCGATTGACACGCGGGATTACTGGAAACTTATTTCTTTATAATAAAGAAATCAGTTTCCAATAATCTAGTTCCGGGAACTAGACTACTAGCAATTTATTTAAGCAATTTAAATAAGAGTCACAGATATGATTAAAAGATGATCTGTTTAGCTCTTGTTTGAATTGTTTTTAAAAAATTTTGCGAAAACGGCCTCAACAAAGAAAACATCGGAAACATAAACATTTCTTAAGCGAAGTGATGTATTAAATGCATTGGCAGACATTCTGTGTTACGTGCAAACCTACCTTCAGCTCAAAGGGAGCTTCAGAATATTAGTCCACAAAACTGTATTAGTTTAGTGAGGTGGAAGAACACAAAAGAGGAAATAACAAACCAGGAAGAAACAAGGATGCTGCAGTAAATTGCAACGGATTACAACTAAAGGAATACAGTAGCATGAACCGTGACCGGCCCTCTACGAAGTCGACCCTACTGTCTTCCGCTTGACATACACAACATATGGCTTTCATAATTCTAAGAAAAAGGAAACTCATTTTCACAATAAGTGTTATAGCTGATAACTACAACATAAAGAAGCTGAAAACGCAGCGTTTATCACATTGAACGGCTACCTGCAAACGGCATTCTAAAACAGCTAATAAACAAGTTTACTAACAAGTAAATCATTGTGTCCAACGATTAGGCTGCATATCTAAAGTATTCTGGATTTCTGCAAAGATAATCATTACTGCATTCAAAAATACCGATAAGGTTGAAAATCACTCTAACACGTTGATTTTATATTGAAATATTACCTGTTATGTGTGTGCCTGTGTGTGTTATGTGGACGCTAATCTAATTTGTCGCATTCAGCGCAAGTCAAAGTTGCTTGGCATACTTGATACCGCCATGAATTCACGAACGACTTATTTAATAAGCTTAAGAGATAACGCACACGTATGCGACCTTTTCTCACTATATTGAGGCAACCTCAATGATGATTTAAATTCCTCAAGTTGAACTCAGTTCTGAGCCCGTCTATCAATATTCGACATAAATTTCACGGAATCATTTCAAACAACTGATAACTGCGATAATTACTTTTTCTATGATATTGTGCTAACAACCTAACCTAAAAATTGTGCCAAACTTCCGGTCGGCGAAAAAAAAATCGATAATATTTAAGAAGATTCATTTACAAAGATGATAAATGAAAAGTTTCAAACCCAGCAAGACATCAAAGAGATGAAAAAATAACAGTAGGACGTAAGTTTAGGTAAATACCAGCGATATCAACTGATACTTTTAAGAGTTCTAGCGTTTTCTCTCAAGCTGCCATGAACGTTGTCATATAGAATGTAATACTCTTAGCTTAGCAGAAAATCCCTGTAAACATTTATTTCGGACTTATGCTTGGGTGAATATGGATGATATCAACTGACTGTGAATCCTTGGCAACAGTTTACGCATCTTTCTTTTCCAAATAAAAGTGAGAAAAAATGTCGAGGAAGTGCTTTGTAGCTTAAAGCTCTAACTTACCAGGATGAGGATATCACCTGCTACTTTCATAACTTTGAGTGATAAAACAATTATTACTTTTATAAAAGGAATCCACTGACTCACGTTTATATCGCCCGAGAACCTGCGGTCGAGCTTGTACCAAAGGTTGAGCATTAAGAAGCATTGTACAACACCAAACACAACTTGATATGACCAAAGAAACCAAACGGGTTAAAGATTCATCTCTTCGCACCCCAGGCCTCATTTTTCATGTTGCAGTTTTGGATCACTGTTCCATACCAGAGCTCAGTAAATACAGGTGAGGGCTCGAGTGAGTGGTTGTTACTTGGGGCACGAAAAGGGCAAGTAAAACACAATGACACTGACATTCGATACCTCAATAAGGTCGCTACTCCCCTCTGACAATTACATGCGAACAGTTCGATTAATCTTCATATCTATCAATGTCTGAAAACTTTGAAAACTTGAACCCTCTATGACTACATTGGCCAAATCATGACACTGCGTTGTGGTAAAACCATCGGTTCCTCTAGCCATATATCTCACTATCAAATGTTTCAGACCTGTTTGCTACAGCAGATAAAGAACTTACTCAAAAATGTAAGAAGACCTCAGGAAATTAAATTTTCTTGTCTAGACTTAAGGTAAATTTCAAAAAGCTTAATACTTTATTGAAGGTGTGGCATTTGAAATATCACTAGGAATAAAAAAGAATTGATGAAAAGTTGATCAGAAATTCAGTAGAAAAATACGCGTGCAAAAAATATCCGTGTCAATAGAGAGGCGACCACAACCGCAAGATTGTTATCTTTTTAAATGTGAGAAAGTTCACTCTTAAAAGAAATCTGCCATCCACAGATTTCAGGCTAAAATTCGCAAGAAACTTTGCTTCTTAAACATGGGGTAAGTCTCCTTTATCCAAAAGCCGGAAACATGAAGGGAGCGAAAACAAGTGTTGGATTAACGAAAAAAGGTCTGCCTCAAAGGAAGCGATTGGATGCCATTACCAGGTGAGTCTAAACATCTTATCTCTAAAAAATCCTTTCATAGCTGTGCTCTTGCTAAACTTATCAGTGAATGTTTGCAAAAGGAAAATTGATGAATCGTCGTTATCTACGGCAAAATATAAAATAACGTAAACTAATATGGGACAGGAATGTCGCATTACGGGAGGTCGGTTTTGGATACCGACCTTGTTAACGCAATTTTTGTCAACATCTTTTAGTTAGTTTGCTCTTGGGAATGTGTCGTGTTTTTCCAAGCGAGACTTAACGTTTGCAGTGGCTGTTAAATGAGCTGGAATACGTGATACTTATAGACCTTGCGTGCGATAAGGGATTAACTTCAATTTTGCGAGATAGAATAGAAGTATAAGTTTCTGTAGGGGAAAAGGCACGATATAACTAACCCTCATAGGTCAAACACGTAGGAAGAGGACAAGAGAATATACAAATAAACAACATAAAACAAAACAAAAGGTAAAAAAACCTGAAGCTAAAATATGTGGCTTTTTCAGACCCTTTGCAAGCCGACAAAACCCTTTTGTTTGGGTGTGGAATTTTCTCGGCGGAGTTAATTAAGCTGGTGATGAGTTGAAATGCTATTCTGTACAAGCAGCTCTCGTCAACTGCAAGTTACCCTGTCTCAAGGTCAATCTACCGCTGCTATTAGAAAGGTAATGAACTGACTGACAGCCAATTTGATGACAGTTGGCAGAAAATAACCCGGGTAAAAATAAATTAAAAGCCGTCTTTGTGTTTCAAAGGTAGAAATTATTGGCTAAAGTCATCACTACTCAGTGCTGCGAGTGAACAGTTGAAACGCTCAGATTATCCAACGCCTAGCCAATATCTACATTTCTCTTGAGGCACGAGAAGTGAGAACACTTCAAGATATCTACGCAACCCTAGGAATCAGGTCTTGTCTATTTCAGCCCTGCGTGTATACTAGGTGAGTAGAGTAAGGGGAGAGGGGTGAGGCGATCTATTCTACCGTCATGCTTGAAATTTGAGGAAACACCAGGCTGCTGTATCGTTCTTTTAGGGGTCCCATCCCTATTTCCCTTCACACCCCCCGGCTCTGCCAAGCCTTACACTTGTTGAGACCATCGAAACTCATGGCATCGAATTCGTGTTTAAGCGTTTGCTTAAACAATTAGTGAATGCTTCTTCCATAAGAATACTTGTGATACAGCCTGGATAAAATAACTAAAACTTTTCGGCCTGTTACGCCTGAAATAATAATGATAATTCATGCTTAAAGTAATACAAGAACAGCTTCCTTTACTTGTATAAGGGGCTCTTATCGTGCACGGTGTATTTTGCCGAGGAATGAAGATTTCATGGTCATCTTTAGCATTAAAGACAACTAATTGATAAGAATAACTTATTGTTTTGTTAAGGTTTATAAATATAACAGTTATCTCTATCGAGAGAGGAACCTTGATCATCCTATGTGGTCCCTATCTTAACCGGTGCAGTAAAAGCCTGTCAAGATAATGGACTGTGCCTCTATAGGGCACTTCAACGAGATAAGAAACACAAGTCATAGATCATAACATGCCATAAAATTGTTTAAAATCGTCGTGAGTAAAACCGAAAAGGAGCCACCCTGGCAAGAGAATACCTTGTGCATGTTGAATCTCGGGACATGCGCTTATTCCTTTATTTTTTTGAAATGATTAACATGTAACTTAGGCGCAATGATGATATAAATGGAGATGATATAAATTCTCGTTGCAGTTCTGATGAGTTATCTTGTACAAAGATTAAGAGAACAGACAAGCTTATCAGCTCGACGGTTCTATTTTGGAATAAGACTAAATTCTCTTGTCTAATTTACAAGTAAAAGTATAGTAGAAAGTAGGGATAGTTACTAACTGAATCTTAGGAGTTAAAGGTGTAAGGACAAATACAAACTGGGGTTGAAAGGGGCAAGACACTCCTCTCGAAAAGAAAACTTAACCCATGAGTGACCAAGGCAAAATTTCTTCTTACAATATCAATACAATATCATGCATGCAAGTGATGAGAAAAAAGAAAAATATCAATTAGGGGATTATTAGTGGATCCAACACCAAATGCTCCAAACTAACACCACAAGAACTGTATGGAAGACAGTAACGTGAATTACTAATAAGATCGCTGTTACTAATGAGGGCACGCTGTGACAAATCACTGTTCGAAATCTGACAGATATCGTTTGAATTTTCTTAGGGCAGCTTTTTGCACAATCAAAACTATGCTTTTCAAACAGGTTGTTTTACAGTACAAGATAACCATCTGTCCAAATAACCGTACAACATCGCGAGACATTTGTACTCGATTCCCGCGTTATTGGTACTATATTTAGTGCAGTTGGCCATGAGAATGAGGTAGCAAACTGCATAATTGTAGAAGGTAAGAGCTAATCGGATACGTAGATTGGAAGGAAGACATTTTTAAGCCAAAAATAAAGAAAAATTATGTGCGTCGGTCAACTTGGCTAATGACTTATCGTTTGATCTCAAGAGCCCATTCAAAGCAACTTGAAGCTTAACTGGGCCAGCCTGCATACATATCACTGATAAATAAATAAATAAATAAATAAATAAATAAATAAATAAGAACTAAAGAAAATTGACCCAAAGGCTTGAATGGTATGGAGGTCGCGATACCCAGTGTGTGGCCGTTAACCTGGAACTCTGCATCAGTGTCGTTTCGGAATGTCTAAGGTAGCTTACATAATTAAAACATTAGTTCAGATACTGACCTCTGTCTTCACACGTCCACGTGTAACTACCATTTTCTTGATGAATGAAAAAGCACAAATCTGGTTTCATAAGGCCATCTGAACAATATAAAAAAAAAACAGTTTATTATTATATTACAAGGTAACAGGAAAATCTGTGCACAATTTGTATAGTGCTATAGTGCTCCTGAATAAAACACTAGGGTGTCACTGGCCTTTTTGGATATCAAGCAGTTTTCGGTTTGTTCGGTTGTGCCCGTATGTTTTCATGTCCGTCGCAAGCTTTTACATTCAAGAACCGCGCGAAAAATTAACCCAGGTTAGGTTCTCTCAATTACAGACTCGAACGATCCGGGAAAGGCTTACGCTTAAATTTTTTACGCATGTGATTAGTCGATTGTAGTTGAGGGCAACATTTTCATTACGTCAGGGAAGGGGCTAGTGGTATGATACGAAGCTTCCACACATTGCTATGTATGCGCCCAAGATGGCTGCAACGTGTTACTTTGTTCTCATCATATTAGGTTTTTTTATTTGTTTTCCTACTCTCTTTCGATCATCATTTATCAATTTTTCGGTTTATGAGAGTCCTCTTACTTTATTGCTGAGATGTCATGGTCCTCCTCGCGCAGTTAGATTGGTGGATGGAAGAAACAAACTTAGGCGCTCGATTTGTACTTGGTGCAAACGTGGTCACTTGACGCTTGGTCTGCCTACAAAATTTGACCTTACTATCTTCGTGGACGTTGAATCTAATCCTGGTCCAACATCCCCTCGGATGGTGGGGATACATAAAGAACAAAACGCCTATCTGGGATATGAGTTCTCTGCGTTTTCGACTGCAACGAAATCGATGAATTGGCTTAATCACAATTTACAACACACTTCTCCATTAGTGCCTTTTGTTCGTCGTACTCAGAGCTTCTGCTACAACTGGAATCTCCCATGTAGTTTACTTCCTCTGGGCAAAAATTGTCAAAGAAAGTTTAGAGGTTGCAGAGCGGGAAAAATAGTTCAAGAAAAGCGGCGGCGCTTGAATTATATTCGAGCTTTGGTCTCACCCCAAGGCTGTCGATTAAATTCTTCACGATTTACATGCATGATGAAGACTCCTGTTGGATCGAATCTTAGAAATTTAATTGAACTTACTCCTAACCCGATTAAAAGCTACACACCAAGGGCTCGCTTCGTGAATTTTTGCTTGCTAAATGCTCGTTCAATTAACAACAAGACTACTATCATCAAGGACTTTGTCGTCGAAAATAATATTGATCTTCTTGGCTTGACAGAAACATGGCTTCAATCAGATGCTGACAATGAATTAATTATTCGTGATTTATGTCCTTCAGGTTATTCATTTCATCATGTTCCTAGACCTGGTTCTACTCGTGGAGGAGGAGTTGGCTTATTATTTCGATCATCTTTCAACTTAAAGTTGCAGCCGCTCAAGAAGTTTTTGTCCTTTGAATATATGGATTTGTTATTGTCAAGTACAGTCGGTTTAAAACTCAGAGTTATTATTGTTTATCGCCCACCTCCCTCGACCTTGAATGGTTTAACACCCTCATTGTTCCTTGATGAGTTTTCTACGTTCCTGGAGCACTATATCGCTGATCCCGGTGGAATATTATTAGTTGGTGATTTTAATATACATGTTGACACCTGTTCTTCCCAACACTCAACTGAATTTCTTCAATTGTTGGATTCTTTCAATCTTACTCAACATACACATGGCTCAACGCATAAAGATCGACACACCTTAGATCTTGTGATTACAAGATCTGATGATAGTATTGTTTCAAATTTGACAATTGGTTCTCCTTTTGTCATCTCTGATCATGCTGCTGTTCACTTCCAGCTCTCGCTTAATAAGCCGCCGCTCGACAAGAAGATTATTTCATTCAGAAAGCTTCGATCTATTGATTTTGATAATTTCTGTGCTGATGTTATGAATTCGAGCCTTCCTGATCTTTTTGCCTCGTCATCGTCATCCTTGGATTATTTGATTGATCAATATAACAGAGTCCTTACTACCATACTTGAGACTCATGCTCCACTGCAAAAAAAAGTTAGTTACTTTGCGTCCCGCTGCACCTTGGTATTCTGAGGAGATAAATAATTTAAAGAGATCCGTAGAAAACTTGAACGACGCTGGCGAATGACAAAACTTCCTTCTGATCGTAAGTTGTTTATTGAGGGATGTGATGCTGTCAACAACTTAATTCGTGATTCCAAGAAGAATTATTTCGCATCATTAATCAATGAGAATCAGTCAAATTATAAACAGCTTTTTAAGATAATTGATAAACTACTACAAAGGAAAACAGATATTCAATATCCCCCCTGCAAATCGCCCACTGATCTTGCTAACAAGTTTATTAAGTACTTCACTACAAAGATAGATAGAATACGGGGTCATATAACGACTGCTGCTTTCCCTCATCGAGATACAGTTGCTGTTGTTGACAACGCCTGTCCACATTCTTTTGATATTTTCAAAATGGTAACAGCGGATGAAGTTCATACATGTATCATGAATCTGGCTGCTAAGTCATGTGCTCTTGATCCTCTTCCTGGTTATGTTACAAGAAATGCACTTAGTGTTCTGTTGCCTTTCATTTCCAAAATCATAAATATCTCATTGGAATCTGGTCAGATGCCTTCGCAACTCAAGGTTGCAATGTTACGCCCGCTCCTTAAGAAATCTTCTTTGGATCATACTCAATTCTGCAATTATCGTCCGGTATCGAATCTTTCATTTATTAGCAAAGCAATTGAAAAATTGGTAGCTAATCAACTTATCTCCTACATTAACGATTATGAGTTAAATGAGACATTCCAGTCGGCGTACAAGAAATATCACAGTGCTGAAACTGCACTTATTCGTGTTCACAATGATATTCTTTCTGCCATTGATAATCGTCGAATCGTAATTTTGCTGTTGTTAGACCTTTCCGCTGCCTTCGATACAGTCGATCATACCATCCTCCTCTCTCGTTTACGTGTACGGTTTGGGATAGCTGGGAAGCCTCTATTATGGTTGCAATCTTATTTATCGAATCGCACGCAATATGTCTCTGTTGATGGTGGTACTTCGACGAAACATGACCTTAAATGTGGAGTGCCACAAGGATCGGTTTTGGGACCCATTTTGTATTTGCTTTATACTTCACCGCTTTCAGATATCGTAAAGAAATTTAACCTGAGCTATCATTTTTATGCTGACGACTCACAGCTTTACTTGTCTTTCCAACCAACCGTACTGGGTGATAGGGATCTAGCGGTTTCTAGCATCGAGAGCTGTGTGGATGAAATCAGTCATTGGATGATGGTTAATCGTCTTAAATTAAATAAAGACAAAACTGAATTATTGGTAATTTCCGCTAAACATCTTCCAAGACCACTCCTTCACGAAATTTCAGTTGCTGGTGAGACTATTCCTTCCGTGCAAAAGGCGAGGAATATCGGCACTATGTTCGACAGCCATTTTTGCTTTAAGGATCATATTACTGACATTTGTAAATCTTCATTTTATCATTTGCGAAATATTAGCTATATCAGGAAATATCTTTCAGCGACCACTACTGAATTGCTGGTTCATATGTTTGTATCTTCGAAGCTGGATTACTGTAATTCCCTTTTTGTATGGCCTACCAGCCTACGCTATAAAAAAAAGGCTACAACACGTTCAAAATGCCGCGGCGCGCCTCGTCACACTTACAAAAAAACATGATCACATCACGCCTGTTCTTTTCAATCTTCATTGGCTTCCCGTTAACCAACGTATTATTTTTAAGATTTTACTTATAACCTACAAGGCACTTAACAACCTGGCACCGTCGTACATTTGTGATCTGCTTACATCTTACACCCCATCGCGTCAACTACGCTCATCATTCAAGCACCTTCTGGTTTCTCCATCCTATAACTTGAAAACATATGGCGCAAGATCCTTTTCTGTAGCAGCACCATCATTATGGAATGCTTTGCCAAGTGAAATTAGAAATGCTCAGTCTGTGTCTGTTTTTAAACGTAGATTAAAAACTTTACTCTTTAGAAAAGCCTTTTATAATTAATATTAGCTGTCTTAAGTGTTAATGTTTAAGTTTTTTTTCTTGTAGGCGCCTTTGAACAGTAGGATACTGGCGCGGTATAAATCTTTTATTATTATTATTATTATTATTATTATTGCTATGAAAGGGTGAACTGTAACATCCACAAAAACTAAAGCACTTTAACATCAGATAAGATTATAACACCCGAACACTTCGTAAGGACTTCTCACGCCTTTCGAGTCACTTGGTTGCAAATAACATCTTCATTCGTAAGCCATTGTATCCAAAGAGAATGAAGCAGCAGGAAACTCGCAACAGGCTGGGTAGTTATTGAATGAGTTGGCTCAAAATAACCACGTACAGATTTAGCGCAGCGTGACCACCCTGACACTTTTAATTATCTTCCACATGGTGGCAACAGTATCGAAAATCGGACGCTAGCGTCCAAAATCGGAGACTAGTGCCTAAAATCAGACTCTATTTTCTTAAAACAGAAATAAGCTTCCAAATTAGAAAATAGTAGACACTAGACGATTAGACACTAGTGTCGAAAGTCGGACATTAGTGTCTTATATCGACACATGTGACCAACATCGGACACTTGTGTCCAAAATCGGGCAATAATGTCTAAAATCGGACACTAATCTCCAATATCAGTTACCTGTGTCCAAAATCGGACACTGATGTCTAAATCAGTCACTTGTGTCAAATAATTGGACCGTACCAACAAAAACCAGACACTCGTGTCTAAAATCGGACTGTTTGTGTCTAAAATCAGGCACTTTTGTCCAAACTCAGACACTAGAATCTAAAATCGACCAGCGATGTTCGAAATCAGACACTACGACCAGAAATCGGACACCGGACACTAGTGTCCAAAATCGGACACTTAAGTGTAACGTCGGACATCAATGTCTAAAATCAGACAAAAAATTAACAATGTATAACATTGGTTACTTGTGTCCAAAATCGGACACTATTGTTCAAAATCGTACACCAGTATCCCAAATCAGGCACAAGTGTCCAAAATCGGACATTTACGCCTAAATTCAGACATCACTTTCTAAAAACGGGCACCAATTTCCAAATTTGAACACTAGCGTCAAAAATAGGAAACTTGTGTCCAAAATCGGAAACTCGTGTCCAATATCGAACACTTTTGTCCAAAATCGGACAAAAAAGTCTGAAATCAGACACGTATCTTTAAAATCGGACACCAGTGCCCAAAATCGGACACAAGTGTCTAAAATCGGACACTGGAGTTGAAAATCAGTCATTAATATCTAAGATCAGGACACCAGTGTCCAAAATCGGACACTAGTGTCTAAATTCGGACACTAGTTTCTAAAAATGAACACTACTGTCTTCTATTGGACAATGGTGTCCCAAATCGGACACAAGTATTTCAAATCGAACATTAGTGTCTAAAATTGGACAGTAGTGTCCAAATTCGGATAAAGTTGTCCGATTTTTGACACCAGTCCTTGATTTTAGTCACAAAGGTCTGACTTTGGACGCTTGTGTCCCATTTTTGACACAAGTGTTCGATTCTGGGCATAACCAACGAAGGCTGAGTGAGCTCTTTAGACTTGAATGAAGTACATCTGAAATAACCCAACACGTTCTTTTAAAAAATGATACTCTACTGAGACACAAGTCCCTTCATAAACCAAAACCAAGTAAACTTAACTAGCTGTAGTTATCGCGTTTGGAATACAGCACGATACGTGAGTAAAATATCCGCCATTTTTATTTAGAGAATTTTTTTTCGTTTCCCAGACCCCACCTCACAATAGCTTGTTTGTTTTTCGAAAGATTCGTCCGATTTATTGTTCGTAGACAAACTACGTTGTTGCATACAGCTTATCTCATAAGCGATGAAAATATTCGGCAGGACCTTTATCAAAAAGTCTCAGTATTATTTGTTATCTGCCCAGTCTAAGGGGTGTGGGTAAAATATGCGTTAAGTCAAAATATTTTGACTTAACACAGAGGTCTCGTCTGTCTAGTTAATTTCAAAACACATTTCATTTCAAGGCGTTTTCCACAAACCACTTCCTAAATAATAACATTATCTCATAAGAACCACTTGATACCAGACCACTCCCTAGAAATATGGCATCGTGCAATGCATTCTTGCCGATCACGAAAGTATCATTTTGATACTCGATGAAGAAAATTGGATAAGCGGTTTTATGGCTTAAAAGTGACATCATAGCGAAAAAAAAAAAAAAACAGGATGTATTCCTCCAAACTAAAGTCTACTCGCCGTCGACCTCTTTAGAATTTCATTCATTAGAATTTTAGCGTTTATTTATGTAAGATCTCCCCTATGGACCTCATCTTTTCCATTAACGATGACCGAGCAACTGAATGACAAATGGGATATTAATGACTATTATCTCATACCGCTATGAACATTGTGCTTCCAGAAAGAATCTCATTACCGTCATAAGTAGATAAGTAGAATGAAGATGGAAAGTGTCTGCAGATCAGTGGATAACAAGTGCAACTTATCCCGTTACCTGGGACGTAAACACTGCATCTTAAAGAAATTGAATGGTTATTCAAAATTTATCATTCACAAAAACTGGATTTCCAAATTTTAAACAGAACCAGCTTTAGAGGATATTGGTAATTTTAAGCGGCGCACAATGATACCATGATCACTCGTCGTAAAATATCTATTTTGGTAAGATGGACCTAAACCTAACAAACTGCCAAGAATATACCAAAAAGACGAGTAAGAATCCCTAAGGATTAAGAACAAGGACAGCAGACGACCACCTTAAATGGTGAGACTCTTCCTAAATTCTTCAAGGTGGTCGTCTGCAATCCTTGCCAATCTTAAACATCAGTAGGGATTCTCGCTTCTCTCTTTGGTAAAAATTTGAATCCTTGGTAATTTAATATCAAGGCAATTTTGCCCACACAGGCAGGGGTGTAGCCATAATTTTTCAAAGGGGGATCACACTGTGTCAAACGGAGGGTGCTCGCCAGTTTTCGCCACCTGAATATTGTGGGTTGTTTCCTTAAAAGAAAAAAGGCCTGCAAAGGAGGGGGGTTATGGTAACCAATCCCCCCCAGTTACGCCCTCGCATTGATAGCGTAAGTTGATGTCTCGACTCATCCTCCGGACTGTTCAGATCCGTTGAAGGTTCAACACGAACCAAAATCTTTAGGGGTGGCCATGAAGACCTAGAGGCCTACGGGGGAGGGGAAAAAATGTTCTTTGTCTCAAACAAAGTGTTCCTGTTGAAGGTTCAACACGAACCAGAGTGGACCTAGAGGCCCGAGAAAAAAGGGTGCTGGACAAAGTGCCTCATATCCCTCTGATGATACAAATTGATAAAATCTTAAACCCCCTCACCTTTCAAAATATTCTCTGACAACGAACACATAATAGTATAAGATATATCTTGAGTCATAACTCTATCGCAAATGTGACAAGCTGTTTTCAACAACGACCATTATTAACGAGCGGTGCAGTCTGGAGAATTCTCTCGAGAAACGATTTATTGCGTATTTTAGTCAGGGGAACCAAAGCAATCCAGCACAAGAACGAAAGAACACTTTCATTGGCGCTTCGTCGTGTGACGCATCAAACAAAATAAATACAATTTGACTAAAGGCATGAAAAGTTCGTGTTTTAACATTTAAATATTCGAGTGTTTAATGCCGAGGGAGTACAGTTGAACGAGTCGATAATCGATTCAATCTTGATCTTATCAACATACTCCTACATGCAAAGCGTTTCATTGAGTTATTACAGTTGCGAAATTTGCTGTAGCCAATGAGATCCCGCGCAAGAACTCAGCTAATAACTTTGAGTGAAACATGTTCTGTTATTTCAGCTGCTTACGGTAGACGAAACGTCTGGGCGTTCAAAACACGACAAAAACAACAACAAAGAAAGAGTCCCATCGTCTGATTTCTGTTATATTAACAAAGAAAACATTTTTTAATTTAATCTTCCTCACTAAGGAATTTCTCAGCAAACTATACGTATCTCGAGCTTGAAATGTGCGTTAAAATTTATTCTATATTTAAAGGTGTGACAGATTTGAAATCATGCTAAATTTGGCTGAAGTCGAACAATCATAAAGCATAACGCCGCAGCCCCGTTCACAGTTCAAACGCTTTTGGCAAAAAGTGATTTCATGAAAATATTTACACTGTGTGATTATTCTCGAGCGTGTTTTCAACAAAAGCAATGAAGGACACTATGTTAATCCCATTAAATGGGTGCAAATTTTCACACTTCGCCGACAAAGGTTTTTGGCAAAGTGAAGTACTTTCTACATTTCTGCGCCTTGCGATAAAGTGGCATTGCCTGGTGCGAGTTTCTCAACTATGAGCATATTTTCACTCTCGTATCTGGTGTAGTGATGGAACAAAACAGATTACCTCACTCGTCTGTCATTAAGCAATTTAATTTAAAGAAGATATCTAGTTCACAAAGGGTCAGTCAATTGTGCAAAACCTACGCTAACTTTATGATCTTTGCGGCCCTCTACTTTCTGTCTCTCCTGCGTTTTGGTACGAAAGTTGTTGATGTGTAGAACTTGAAAAACTAGACTCAGTTTGGCGAGAAATTTGGTTGTAAGTGTACAAGTCAACTCACTTGAATGCATTCTTAACATCTTGGCTATTTTGAGCCATTTTAAGGATTAAATGGTCAATTCCCGGAGGCTAGTTTTGAAAACAGTTTCTCTCTCCTAAGAAAGACGCCTTTCGTTAAAAATCAACCCTTAATTACAAAGTGAGATCACATTTGGTTTGTAAGGGCTTAGGTCGCCTACTGAAGTTGCGTGGATCATTGATTGGGAAATAACGATTGTCGTACTTCCAATACGGAGGTTAAAGACAAAAGAATGTGACAATCGACTAAGGCTCAAGACCTCGGAGGTGCCAACATACACTGAACAGTGAAGCGTTTCTAAGGAATGCGTAACAACCTTTATTTTATCCTTTGCGGCCACGCCAGTTCGTTTTTGTCATTGAGCAATTCATTCACAACCGCAATAGTAATCTAAGCTTGATGAAGTGTAGAAAGTCAGTGGGATTCCCTATGGCTTATCAGTGATCCCCCCACTTAAGCACTGGTCAAAGAGTTCCGAACGGCAATCACTTTGCCAAATTGTGAGTATTTAATCGAAAAAAAATAAACTATTCACCAAACATATTCACGAAATATTTCAGAAAAATGCAAAGTTATTGGTGATTAAAACTCCATATTTCACGCATCGCGTGGTGAGCAACGGTGAAGAGGAGTAAATACCGCATTTATAAACCAATCGCATGCATTTAAATCCTAGCTGCGAAGTTTGCGCCCGAAAAAATAATCGTTAATTGCTAGGAATGGCGACAAGTGACGGATTTGTGAAAAGGGTCAAATAGGCAAGTTTCAAAAAGCCAGACACATTACTCACTGAAATAAAAAAAAATACTTCCAGTGCGTTATTACCTACAGGTTAGGGAAGGTAGTTAACTAAAAAACGCAGTAAGAATAAGACAACCAAAAATTCCCCTACAACACCGGATCATTCATTAATTACTGTAACTAAGTCATTTACAAAGATCTCGTGGATATTATTAATAAGTAATTTTTTTCAAAGAACTTACCACCAAATTCCTCGAGTTCGCTAAGTGTTTCAATTTCAATTCCGAAACCTTCGGTTGATCCTTCCGATGTATCTTCGAGTTTAAATTCAGCGCCCTGTCGAATGGCAGCTTTGGAGGAGGTAACAGAGGCAAGCGCTACCACTAAAAGGAAGATGAAGAATCTGCCACAGAAAGGCACAAAAATGGGGGTTAAACTCGATCCCATTATGTGTAAACTGTTAGAAAAATTACCGCAAGCATTCAGTACCTTGTAGCCATGTTACAGCGAAACTCGATTCCGTCAAAGTGATGTTGAAGAGTGAAAGCCAGAGTATTTTTTTACCATAGAATAATTCAGAGGTCACATTCCGTACTAAAGGGTTTGGCTTATGACGGTAACACACTACCGGAAATTCACACGTAGCTGTTATAGATTAATTGGCCTCATTTACTGAGTACATAGCAATATCAAGTATCGTGAACGCAACCGAGAGGAGAGTGAAATATCATGGTTGATGGTAAGAAATTTGAATGGTACAAAAAATTGGCTCCAAATATTTCGACATAGCATTTTTGGCCTTTCACCACCAAGATCTAATCATAACTTCTCCCTACTATCTGCCATATATTTCTTGTAATGTGCGTTCTGAGAATTTAGTGTATACCAACTTGACGATATCCCAGGGTTGATCTTTTTGTTTTTTTCACATCACATTTCTGTTTGATGATAACACTGGTAGAGATAAATGACTTATTGGTAACACCTGGAAATGACAGGGCTATAACAGTAAAACAGAAACATCCGAGAAAAATTTAGTGATGACAAAAGATCAAATTGAGAAGAACACGTGTTTGTGACATCTGTTCACAAATCAAAATAAAGGGAATGAAAATAAAGATTCATGGAGTTTCGTGTACTGTGTAGTACTCTGATGACGGGGAGGGAGAGCAACGAATTCGTCCGTGACGAAGATGCTAGTACATTAATTAATAGTATCTTTGAGACAATTCAAGTTGTGCCACAGGTGACCCAAGCGTCTTACTGTGATTTTTGAAGGTCATCTGAAATGCTGAACATATAATATAATAATAATAATAATAACAGTTTATTAAACTCTCTTGCAGTAACTTACTGAAGGCGATATTGAATGTTTTTTAGGCATATAACACCCGGTACAAACAAAGTCGACAAAATGACGTTGAAAACCGCCGGGAGAGACAAGGCGGCTATGGAATAAAGGAAAGAGGCTTAACAAGTTATTTTCGAGCATTTATTTATCATTATTTTTTTTAAGTCGCACGTTAACGCTTAAAATGAAATGATGACAATAAATTTAATGAACCAAATGGTGAAAAATTAGTAAAATGCATAACCTTAAAGTTTAAAAATTAAAATAAATAAATAAAAATAAGTGCATGGTAATTTTCTTTAAACAAACTCTTGGAAACGCCCTTTCCCGATCTCTACCAGGCCTGGATCTCTACAAGACTCGAGATATGATCTTACCTATTATTCGCCTTAGTACCTCACTGACTCTTACAGGGCGAACTCCTGGGTTCTTATTGAGTGAGAGGAGCCCAAAAAAGGGTAGCTTTCAAGTTGGGACGGATGGGAGTAAGACTTCAAAAAATATCCTGCTTATCGCGGCTATTTCTTTTTTCAGGCCCTTTCCTTAACTATCGAAGATTTTGAGCAGAAGATTCTCTGGTAAAGTTTGGCGTCCATTCCTTATAGACCCGTCGGTTTTTTTTATCTTCCTTGTTGCATTGTAAATCATTTGTTCGTCAATGTAGTCAAAGATGTTGCGCGGAGTCTGGTCAAACAGTTTTCGCGCCTAGCGGGTGGTTTTCTTTCAGCGCGTCTAAGACTTCCCCTGAAAGACTGAGAAAGCCTGGGGAATTCTCTCTATCCAGGCGTTTTATTACAGCAGACAGCTTTCCCTGAAAGACCAATATTCAGTAGATGCTTCCGATGTATCTTCGATTTTAAATTCAGCGTCCTATCGAATGGCAGCTTTGGATGAGGTAACAGAGGCAAGCGCTGCCACTGAAAGGACGATGAAGAATCTGCCACAGATAGGCACAAAAATGGGGGTTAAAAGACCAATATTGCAAAAACTTTAGATATATCCTCGAATCTGGCCTTTCTCGAAGTTGCATCCTCTCTTGTGTAAATTTTATTGCTTTCATTCGATTAGGAGATTTAGTTCTCCTTGCTTCCAGAGGGCTAGTCTGTGATCTATCGCGGTGCTTTGTTCTATGCTCTTGGAAGAAGGTTTTCACAAAATTTGGGCAGAATAACTGGAAACTCTATCAAAGTAATCGAGTTCAGAACAGAACTAGTTTTAAATTATTAGAGCCAGAACGTCAACGCACTTTCGCTCTTTTCAGCACTGCCCAATGGAATATTACGATGTTCCTTCTGAAATGAACAATTTCATTGTAGATGTCGTTCAAATTTTTGCAAAGGCTTTGAGAGCTGATTTTTCACCAAATCGGGTGGATTTGGCTGTGCGCTAACGCCTTTACGTGGTCTGTCTTTGATCTGGTTGTCTGGCTGTCAGGTTCCCCTGGGATTTTGATGTGCACAAACCGTATGCAAATTTGTTTCTTGTACAAGCGCGTGTAAATTCACAAAAACCGTTCCTTCGCTTTAATCTTCCTACAAGTCCACAATGTCCATACTAGCGCCTCTGACATTGTGGTTTTGTGTTTCCTTCCTTTCTCCAACCGATTAATGCATTAGCTCCGTTATATTGTCCAGTGACTTTTTCAACCTGGCAGCCTGATCAAGCAAGTCTTTGGGTGTCTGTTATAAATTCGCGTATCAAAGGTCATTCCACAAATCCTCATGATTCACATGCCGTTCCTTCTTTCTTCCGCTTTCCAGCTGCGGCGGTTTATCAAAACCATACACTCTTGCTCTCACACTTCATGAGTCATTAATGATCGTTTGTGTCCACTTCAGTCTTCCCGTTTTCTTTGATTGCGAGTGGCCCTCTTGAATTCAGTCATTCCGGTTTGTCTTCTTAGATAAGACTCGTTGTCCTTCCATCCTTCTGACAACTTTGCTTTTCTCTATGTTGTTAGTAACACCAGAATGCTTCTTTTCCTTTTTTTTTTTTTAATAGTTAGACTGACCGGACTTCTTCTTTCCAAAGTGCAACTCCATTTTCTTCGGAACGCTTAAAATACGCTTAAAATTCAATCCAAATTTATCCGGCAATTGTGCAATATTCAGGAAATAACGACTTCAGTAAAGCTAAAGGTGACTTAATACCAATAGACAAAAAGATAAACTTCATACCGAGGAACTTTTGGCTTTTATTTACTCCAGTTGATACGCATATGTTAATTAAGTTTATTTTTATGTTATATTAATACACCTATGAGCATTTTTGATACGATATTCCTATTAATGATCTTCAACCCCGAAATCACAAATAGTACGCTTGGGCCGCCTGTGGTTGTACTTTTGATGTGGAGCTAAATTCTCCGCTATCTATACGTATTGACAGCAGATTGACTAGGGTTTATTGAATACTTAGCCCCTTGAAGATAATTATCGATTACTTTGTTCGCAGGATTTAATCCGAATGCATGTATAAGTTAAAACAGCTCTCACCTTTCCATTTTTACTCCAGGCGTTTGGTAAGGAAAACGAAGCGCGATGGAAGCAGCGGAGTGAAAAGCCTGACCTGCAGTTCACTATCAACCCTAAATATCGTCAACTTTGTACTCGCGTCATTTCTGAGCGGCCGCTGATCAAGAAGAATGAAGATTCTCTGCTCGTGGATTCCCGCATGCCGCAAGCCACTCCCCCAAGACGAACTTTGTTCTTCGAGTCCAACTTTCTCGCGCGTTCAAACCGCATAGCGTGACAAACGCGAAATTACATACTGCCATAAAATTATTATATCCGCTCATGGTGCATTGTAACTATTTTTTATTCCAGTGTCAACCACTGATCGTATCGTTTTTAGTTTGAAAATATTCACCCAGAGGCTAATTTTTAAGTAAGGCGCGTGCTAAATTTCTATTTATAACCTTGTGTTCTGATGCAATCCATTTCAAGATAATAATGAAATGTATGTGTCGCAATCGGAGAGCGGAGATGCTTCATTTTCGAGTCTATAGAAAGTTAGTCTGAGATAACACTTACCTTACTGTGGAAGATTTCCCACGTTTCGTAGGGTTTTTGGCAAGTTGTCATTTTTTTAGTCCAAATGGAGTTCAAAGATCACTCGGAAGGACCCACCAGAAAAATCAAGATTTAAAATAATAGTTGTGACAAACTCTGTTGCATCTAAATTTTCGTCCATCGATTATTTCACTGTTAGATGCCAACAACTTTAGTTAGCACTAGCGCACTAACCTTGGACTCGATTTCTTCGTCAAAAGGATCAAGTATCGCTCGAGCGAGGTAAGTCAGTCACTTCTGGAGATAAACAAGAGACAATTGCTATTAACCCTTTAAGTCCCGAGATCTGATTGTTTAAGTGATTCTTCCCTCTACCTGCCATACATTTCCTTGTAAATTAGTTAGGAGAATTTTGTATTAGATAAAGCTAACGACTTCAAAATGATAGGTTTGGGTATTCTTATAACCCGTGTGAAAGGGAGAAGTTACGTGTTAATCACTTCTGGGAGTTAAAAGGATGATGAGGATAAATCACACAAGCACATTTAATAATGTAGCCGGCTCTGCAGGCCGGCAAGATGAACAGCGGCAAAATTGAGGCTCAGATTTCCAGTTCTGTCACGCTAGGCACAACCAAATCCAACGCTGACAAAGTTTGTTCGATTAGACAGTTAAATATTTGTATCGCATTTTTTTCTTTTTAAGGCGATTTCATCGCGAAAGAGCGCTCGATCTTTATCTCATCATCTTTAACCTGCGCCTAGGTAACCCCATGCCACATACGTAGATATAATGCATTATCACTGAACCTATTCTTTAGCCATTAATGTATTTTAGAGCAGTATAACGGATGTAGAAAGCATTATTTGCATTTGATTGTCATCTTTCGAAAGTAAAAATCTGGAATACTCAACCGCGAGAGAATAGAAACTGTTTATATTATCATGTCAACCGCTGATACATCATGGACTGACCGACACAAAATTCAGGCCCGTGAACCGATCGGTTCTGCTTATCAGCTATCAATCTCCAACAAAATGATCTTATCATCTTTATATTGAGTAATGAAATGATCTTATTTTCTTAATTTGAGTAAGAAAACCTCTTATCTCTCCAAAGCATAAGGATAACCCAAAGACAATAGTAGAGCGAAAAAAATTACTAAACTTAACTAGATATAAAGGAAAACAAGCAAAGAAAAAACGAAAAATTTGACGATTTCATGGTATTCAATCTGTGTGAGGATTCTGAAAGGAGGATTGTCAAGGCTGAGAAATTCAACAAAAATAGCCATATATAGGCTCTAAGATAAGTAAAACAACTGAAAAGAGTCAGATGAAGCGTTAAGCAATGGCTTCATCAAACTGGCACTGAACTGTACTTTCAAAAGTATCTTTAGCAGCGTTAATCTCTCCCTAGGAATTAAATTTGATAAAACAAATGCTCACCATGGGCTCGCATTTAAAACCCTTTAAGAAAAGTTGCACGCTTTATCCAACTTGAAACCTTAACAAAACTGTGCCAACGCGACGACGAAAATAAGTCTTTGAATAATTATTTGTAGATGGAGCCGTCTTGCCAACAGCTATGAAAATAGAAGGAAAATTATTCTACTAACAGCACGAATAAACTAGCAGTAATTTTTTACAAGTTTAACTCTAGTGTGTGTCAAGAATTCGAGTTTACCGCCATGTCATTTTGTGTCAGTTGACGTCGATCAGCTGATCTGCTGTGGTACTATGGCACCCAATCTCCTCTCAATCTTCTTCTTCACTAACAGCAATGAGGGTTCAGTCATTGCAGGGACCTAAATTTGCATTTTCAAGCTAATTAAGAGCACATAAAACAGAGACTATCTACTATAGACCCACTTAAATGTCTTTTCTAGGTCTGGCTAAATTAAATATCGTCTACGAGTTATGCAAATTATCTTGACAACCGGAAACTCGCCTTGCTGAAACGGAAATGCAATGCCTTTGGCTTGGCCTCCATATATGGTAACTCTTCTGCATACATTATCGTATGATTCTCTCGTAAACATGGCTGAAACAGCGGAAGACCACCGAACGTCTTCGGAAAATGAGGTAAGGCTGCCGATCCTTTCCTTTACAATTGCTTAATTCCTACCGATTTTACTTTGGTAATTTGGCTTGGATTTTAACGGGCTCGGATTTACTTTTCATGAAAGCGCGTTTGTTTATAGTGCGAAATGACATGAAAAATTCATCACTCAGTCTGAAAGAACGCAGTACGCGCCAAATTTTTGCGATTTTTGCGGCATCTGAAGACTGCGATTTATTCTATTCCAATGCGATTTTATTTTCATTGAAATGGTTTGTTGTTCCAATAGCATTCCATATAGTTTCATGTGATAAAAGTGTTTGTATAGAAAGATTTGTTTTCATGTATAAGTATTGCACCAAAGACTTTACAAATCATTGTGAGGCATGTACGCTTGTTTGAAGGGATGAAATTAGTTTGGAAGTTAAGTCTATGAGAATCCTCTTCATCTGAAAGTGGTTTATTGCTTTATTTCAGGTACAAAAAATAAATTTACCCTCCGGTTTATAAAACTATGTAAACGTACACGAAAAAACCATGGCGCTGTTGGGAGTCACTTGTATCAAAGCATCCTATGTTGCTACTTATTGTTCAACAAGACGCCTTGCTGAACGCCAAATCGTGCCCTTAATGTTTTAATAAAGTTGAAAAGAGATACAGTTTTTGACATCTTTATTTACAAACACTTATTAGCTTGCGACAAAACACAGTTTGTTCCACTTTATGCTCGACTCTAAATCAAAATTTAATTCACAATATTTTAATGATGTCGGCGATTTTATCGTTTATGAAGTGTATTTGATGTCGGTTTTCATTACCCATGTAAACTCCTTAAAGGTTGTTGATTAAAAGCTTTAGATAAGCTGAGGAAATCTATCGGAATAAGCGTTAAGAATTCTCACTTCAAATCGTGTGTCGCAAAACGTGTGTCGTACGTAATCGCAAAACTAAGCCTTTTAATTTTCAAGACATTTGAATTCACGACAAAATAACCTAAAATTTTTCAATTCTATTAAGGTAGATTTATAACTTATTTCTTGTTAAATAATGCATTACATTTTCTTTTACTCACCTATCTTTAGGACTATTGTAGAATGAGAATTTTAAACAAATATATGCCATCATGTACTCTTGGGATATTATTATTTTCATTATGAAAATATATTGCAGACAGCTCTGTAGACCCTTTGTAAACAAAAAAAGTGTTAATTGAGTTTGGTTGATTTCCTCTGTTTTATACAATTCACGAGTTACATTTTTTGTCTAAGAAACCCACATGCCCAAAAAATGAATGTGTAGCTTCATGTCGTTACTTGAATTCATTTTGTTCACAGACATCAGGAGTGACAGGTTCTGCAGAATCTATAGATTTATCTTGTATCCACGTAAGTACAACTAATGTTGGAGGCTTTAATGACAGTTTGTACCTGAAATATATTAACGAAAAGCAATTATGATAGATTTTACAAGATCATGTTAAGCCCATATAGTCCTTTAGTGAGCTACAAGGCTGCTTCAGAATTATTTCATGATCAAGTGATAATGCAATGGTAAATGGCAAAAAAGAAAGCAAGTGATAATCAGATTTTTTTCTCTTTCAGTGGGGGTACCTAAACTGTACACTATTAAAAGATCCAAAGAAGATTAAGGTGGGAATTTGCATTTATACAAATGAAATATTCCGATGTTTGGGAAATTCCATATAAGATTAGTCACAAGGGGGATCTTATAATTCACACTGTATGTAGTAGACTAATGGTTGACTAATTCACCCCATCATGCACTTTATAACAGCTGAAAATAGTGTATTGTGTTCACGGGCAAACATCCTTTAGTGCTGACTTCTCAAACTATGTAAAATTCCTTTATTTTGGCCAGGATAATATTTGGCAGACATTTTGGGTTGATCTCTGTGGATCTACACTCAGGCTTTATAAGGTAAAATTTACTTGCAAATTATGATTCATGTTCTTTACTGATTGATTTCTTTTCATCATTAATGTTCCTATTACTTTTTTAAAAGGATTTATCTCTACCACAAAATTCTGCCAATCAACTGCCTCCTTCAAGTCTCAGTGTGCCCTCTAATGAGGTTATTATATAACTGTTGTCTGAACTTCTACACTTGATTTTTTCTGCATCTGTCTTTTATACTATGTTTTAACTGGTATTGTATTAGTGAAATAACTCGTATGGCCAAATATACTTGTAGAATGAAAAGAAAGAAGCTTTTATTGTCTTGAAGAAGGGGACAAAAGTTCAAATTTTAGAACCAGGATTTGAGGTGAGTCGCTCAGCTGAAAGTTAATCCACATATGTGTACATGGGTATGCATTCCTATGTCTTCGTTCAAACTTCTTCTTGGTTACATAATTTTCAAAACAGTTTAATCTGTATTTTGTTTAGTCTTTTAATTTTTAATTTAATTTTTCAAGCTAAGAAAGAAATTGAACCACAGCGCGCACACACACACACACACACACACACACAATATTATTCTTTTATGTTATCATCAACTAATTAGCTGTAACTTTATAACTTATTCTTTCTGGAGCCTTTTTTTATGCACTAATGTTTTATAAAATTTATTTTAAGTAATGAATTATATTCTTTATTGTTCCAGTCACACAAGTCTCAAAAGAGGAAATTCACAGTGAACAGAAAACATGTGTTCAAGGTTTCTTTTACCAGTGGAGGCACAAACTCACCATCCTACCTGTTTCAGGCTCCATCCAAAGGAAGCATGTATAGATGGTAGGGTTAAAAAAACTTTTTTTCTCTGAGTGAGTTTCCTTACTATATTATATAAGATATCAACCTTTCCACCCTAACATCAGCATGTATATTCTCTATACTGTACTTAATACATTTCCCAAGGTGCTGACAAGGAGAATTTGTTTAAAAATCAAGAGTTTCTTTAGGGCCTATTTTCATGGAGGTGGGGGACCCCAGATAGATAAGGTAACCTACCTTGATGGGGTAACCTGCCTGTCCATAAAATCTTGTATTTTATCTTCATCACATTTACATGATAGGTGGGGTGACCTGCCTAGGCAGCATACATGGTCAGCCAAGTAGGGTAACCTTGTCAGTGGGGATGACAATTTTCCATGTAAATGTCCTCTTTGCAATGAAACCTCAACAGTAATTCAAGGCACAGTTTTACTTTGAACTTAACATGACATTCACATGTTACGCTGAAGTTAAGGTGTTGTACTGTCAGAAACAGTTTACGCATCCAGCTATCGGTGGAAATCTTTGAGGAAAATAAATTACTTTTTATCAACAGTGTTTTACCACATGTCACCATAGTGCCATCTTACCTCTCTAATTATAAGCATAACAACAACCTCAAGAAACTTCTTTATGGCATCCCTGGGTAGTTAGATTGTATGCAAATGCAGGCTATTTTTCTACCACAGCTAGGCACATTACCTCTATTACCTGGGGTCCCCCACCTTCATGCAAACAGGCCCTCAATTGTTAATCATTTCCACTATTCTAGGGACCTTGATGCGTGACTCTGAAAAATTGGATGCTGGTTACTCTTAGGGGTTCAAATGGGTTAATAAAAAAAGATACCACAACAGATAAAATTCACTTTAGGTTTGGATGATACTGTATTTTAGCTTTGATGGTGGCATTGTATGTTATATAATTACCCATGCATTTGTTTTTAACAGGATTAGCAAAATTGAAGAAGCAATTGATATGTCTGACAAACCACAGGTAATTTGATTTGTATTTACTTGCCAGTTTTTTAGTCTGTGTTATTACCAGGACCAATTTGTACTTTGTGTGTAAAAAAACCTGTATTTGCAACAATCAATGGTTGACAGGTACATACTGTATCATTCTGCAATTTAAAATGGTAATCTGTATTTTGTTTTATTTCTCTCTTCCATTTTTGCATGGATTGATGACATGTGACTCAGAATGAATCCACAACAGGTATTTCTTTCAAACTCTGTGTTTTTTTTTTAAATAAAGAGCATTTTCTTCCTCCACCCTCTGTCTGTATTTTTGTCTTGTTCTTTAAGATGATATCCATGCTTATATCCCTTATGTGGTAAAATGGTGTAGTAGTGGAATGGTTAAAAATGAATCTTGGCAAACTGTTAAAAAACCTGACCAAATGGTGGGGGGTCTTTTGCAATAGACCAGCATCCCATGAAGGGAGGGGGGGAGGGGGAGAAAGAGGAAGAGCTTAATTACTACAAGAACTGTGATGAGCTCTAACCTGATGTACCAATCAGTTTTTCAAACTAACTTTGCCTTATTTTGTTCCTACATGAATGATTCACGTATCCACCAAATAACTGGGAAAAAATTAAATTGATTTGTTTTCCTGTCTGAAAGGTTAACATTATGTTAATTTTCTGTGCTTTGTTCTCTATAGGAAAAGTGAGGAGTTAAATCAGTAATTTAATTTTGATTCATAAAAAAGTGTATAATTGTGAGAATTTCATCACTGAAGAGTCTTTTAATGTGAAGGGATGTAACCTGTAATGTCTAAATCAAACGTTCTGCTACATCTGACTTTTAATTCTTTAAATTTCTGATCATTTTATCAGATTCATTTTATAAGATTCATAATAATCATGGTAATCTTCAGTATTATGAATTGTTGAATGATTTTTCTAAGTTATAAACCAGTGTTTTTCTAATAAGAGTAGCTAATGTTTTAATGGAGCTTTGATTGTTCATTTCTGTTTATAGTTGTTTCAGCTGTAACTTCAGCGCTAACATATTTGAGGGGCTTTTCATTTCGTAAGTTTATTTAATAAATCAGTGGAAATCTCTGACATATTATGCATGAAGCTGGCATGCACTGTGTGCAGGGAATGCCTTTGCTTCTCTGTATGAAAAAGTTTTGTCAGACCTGGTGAAGGACAAGGTTGAGGTAACATTTCAATGTTAGTCAGACCATACTGCCAAGATACTTGAAAAGTACAATTTACTGTGATCTACTCTTGAAACCTGTCTGAAAGAGGAGAAACTTTAATGTTTCTTTCAATACTTTATGTTCACCCTTTCACTCCCAAGATCTTGTTAGTAATTCTCGTCACTGTCTGCCTTACAATTCTCATGATGTTAGTGTTGAGAATTTAGTATTGGATCCACAAATGTCCACTTGATATTGTATTGATATTGTAAGGAGAAATTCTGTCTTGGTCACTCATGGGAGTTAAAGTGTTAACATCCCTGTTAAGCCCAAATTATTCTATTTCAGTCTCCCATTCATAATTACTAATTCTTTTTTCTTGAAAGAATGAAATGAAAACACACTCCTATCTTAGCAGTAGCGATAACATTGAAATGTTATCTGATGATGTTAAGATTTGTTCAGAAACATCAGAAGCAAGTCCACAGTTAGATATAATATGTAACAATTCTGTAATAAACCAGAATATTACATGTAATTTGCACACTAAACTTTGGAAATCAGTACTTAATGACTCAACATGTCCATTGAGTTGTAACCAGGTGCACTAAATTAAAGTTTACACACACTTGCAAGCTAACTTGAATTTAGAACATTAACAAATAAACTCTTTCTTTAAGATGTGAACTCGTTCATGAAAAATACATTAACCAAGCACCAGCAATTTTGAGCACTTCCACCATTCATGAACTAAATCTAATTTATTTTATGTTTAATTTTTCAAGTGGCGTTGTTGCTCGATATATTTTTTTTGTGTACTTTCGTACTTGGAATTGCCGCTGATATGCAACTTACAAGAAACAATCCATCTCCATTTTCTCGCTTGCTCCAAACCGTTGCATGCAAGAACAGCAAGAACAGCTTTTATGTCACTTACAACTACTGAGGTTATTTTATTGTGCTTAATTTTTCTATGTCGCACTCTCTCACGTCACAGACAAGAGACTCAAAGAAGCTAAACTTCGTTCAATGGAGCAACACAGATTCCGTATGGCCCCGGAGATGTAAGTACAACGCAAAAGCGGTTTGCGATTAGAGATTTGCTTAACTGACAAAAGTAAGCACTGTATTCAGTGAACTCTTGCCTCAAATAAGAAATTTTTTTTAACGCAAAAAAAGTGAGATAAACTTACCGTTTTAGTATTCTGTAGTTTGTGTTGTGGCGGCCATTTTTGAACCGGGTAGGCGTGTGAGATCTGAAACGGGTAACACGTGGATGTGATGGAGAGAAATCTTCGGAAGCTGTCGGAGCTCTAAGGAACGAGGCAAATAACGAGCGTATTTCCATTTTTAGTAGCTCCGAGAGTGTTCCGAAGATTTAAGGCGAATCGGAATATCAAATTTGAAAATCGTATTTGCTTGCGTTTTAGGAGAATCCCTGATAGAGATGACATTGATTCTGGCATGGAAGGTAAAATACTTTCTACCTACTGTGTTTATTAGTGATTGGATGTTCTTAGGACAGGAGCAGAGTTAGCGGCGGGGAGGGGGGGGAGTGAGGCCGAGCAACATAGCGACACTCCTTTGGCGATCCTTGCTGTTGTTAGGAAACTGGAGATTTCAAAATATTGGGTCGGCAAATCACGTTGATAATGGTTTCCACCCCATGTTCGGCGTTAACAGAGCTTTTCTCGTTGAAGGATCTGTTGATATCATTTCAGTTTTGGAAAATAGAATTTTGTTTTTGGCTTTTTGAAGGTGACGTAGAAGAAGTTTATGAAACCTCCAAGAAACTTGTGGACAATCCTCGGCTTGAGCTAATGAAGGTAAGCTCACATACAAAACATTTTACTCAATTCTTGCTATTATTTTGAACATGAGCGAAATTTAAAAACATGTACATCTTATTTTCAAATCTGCTCATGTAACAATCCACTTTTACCTTCATCGACATGACAGAGCGCTTTTCGATTGAGTGTAGTAAAACCAAAACGACCAATCAGAAAAAAGGAAAATATCTTCGAGAACCAATGATACTCTAAGTGAAAACAATCGAATTACCCAAAGCGCGGGAAAACTCGGGCCACTGACTGATCGGTTTTAGTTTTGCATCTGATTGGTTGAGAAAACAGCGCAAATTTTCTGGACCGATCACACTGCGAGGTTAGGTGCATACAATCTCGGATTACTTTCGACACTTAATTGAAAAATGCTGTACGTGGTCAATTGCTTTACCTGGTGAGAAAACTAGTGCTTGGTCCTGTTTTTGTGAAATATTGTAACTGATAAACCATTCACTGTTGTGCTTGTTTCTCCTGTTTTTGTAGAAGCAACTGCATGACTTAGAAGAACTTGTTCAACAACTGGAGAAAGAAGAGGAGGCTTTCTTGGGAGGAAGTCTTTCACACCGTAAGTTGGAAACCTCGGATACAGTTGTATGAATTTTGTTTAAGTTTTGTTTGGCTCAGTGCATTATAATCTTGATCCTGATTAGCTGTTGTAGTAATTTTGGTTTGGTTTTACAATACTCAATGCAAAAGCACTCGAAGGGAACTATAGTCATATTTTTATTTTTTATGTTTTCAGTGACGAGGAGATGCGAGTTTCATTCAACGACAACCAAGGATTATTTTCTGATACCAGGCCACTCTCGGACACTGATTCCCAAAGGAACAGAACTTACAGTACTGGGACAACTTCCAAACAATCGCTGGAGATGTTGTGTGGAGCTTCCACGAAGTAAGTCAGCGGGACTTGCAAACGGACAACACTTGGAATCATCTTCGGAAGTCGAGAGTATTTCTTCATTTGATACCGCCGACGACGAAAATGTTACGAACACTAAGCCGAACACGGACATTTTAATCGGAAGCGTTCCGAACAGTCTACTCAACGATTTAAGCAATCTGATTTCGTGTAAACTAAAATGCGAAGACGGGACACCTGTAGCTTCCCCAGGGGTTACCCCTCAATTATCCCCCTTCCCATCCCCACCTCACTCCCCTTATTCCCCGCATAAGAACAATCGGGACTCGTCTCCAGGTAAGCGAAGTTCCTTACGCAGGTCTATAGCGAGTGAAAATCTTAGTGAACAAGATATATGGGAACAATTTTGCATACCATCCCCACCCTCGTCGCCTGTTACATCACGATCTACCTCCCCCTCTATGTGTCTCTCTTGTTCTCCGGGTGGATCGCTCGAGGATTTGGATTTTGTTGATAAGGAAAGCTGCGAGACTGTAAATCCCGAGGAAAATAAGGAATGTTCTGAAGTAATTCTGAGACAAGGGAGAGAAAAAGATGAAAGAGATTTGTCGATACTGAAAAGTCGTAGAGAAGCAACTTTTATGATCGACGATATTCCAGAGACTTACATCGGAAGTGATTCAGAGGATGATAGAATGGTGACAGTGATTGATGAAGTACCCCCTCATGAGCTGTTGGATTCTGAGAACATCGAACAAGAACCTGTGAAAATGCGAGTTAAAAAGGACCAGTCACATCGCGATTCTGGTAGGTGTGACAAGCTGTTAGCAGAATTTAGTGATATGTTGTTAGGTATATTGAACAGCAGCGTATGGATTTGTTACCCAGTGGCTTTCAATTGAATGGTCACGCACCTGGGTGTCATCTTCACATTTAGCCCTTTAAACCCTTCACATCTGACATCAGTATGCGTATTCTCCGTACTATTCTTAATAGATTTCCTAAGGTGCTGAAAAGGAGAATTTGTTCAGTAATCAAGACTTTTTATTAGTAGATGATCATTTCCCTTATTCTTGTGACCGTGGTGAGTTATTCATAGATGATATTGTAAGGAGAAATTAGATGTTAGTCACTCTTCGGGGTCAAAGGTTAAAAGTTAACCACCTTTAACAAAAGGAACCTGAAAGCCCTGCATAGTAGCCATTATTCGATTGGTCAAACTCTAAGGTCTTATATACTGACATTAGAGCTGAAATCACATTATGCTAGTTTGTTTGTGGATGTTTTGTTCTGTTCTAAGATATATTTACCTTCAAACTATAGATACTGAATCAATTGCTTCTCTACAACCAAATTATGCCTTTTTGGTCACAAAGAAGTTACGGCAGCGAGGGATAAGCTTAATTGTGGGATCTTCCAGTTCAGGTGAGAATAAAGTACAGTGTTTTAATTTAACGAAAGTGAAATATTGTATATGATAATGTAATATCCGAGAATTTTACCAAATAATTTCCTTTCCAATGTTTTTCTTGATTGTAAAATTTCAGTTTTCAGTTTTAAAGTATTTCCAAAAACTGATTGCATTTGAGTTAGGCGATTAGCTTGGATAGTTAAGGTAGCTATTTCAATCTTAATTAATAACTGACCCTCCTTAGACTAGCTATAGCTATTTGCGGGTCAGCCAATCTAATACTGAACATCTGAAAAATTGAATAAATATTATTTAGTGTGAGGTATTTCTGAGCAACGACTCGTCGTGTGTGTGTGTTAAGTGTTTACTTGCAGACAAATAATTTAGTTTTGTTATGCAGTGTGGTGACAATTCTCAAAAGTATCTCCTACTGGATTTAATTACAATCAAATAACTATATTTTGTAACGAAAATTGAGCTGAACTTTTTATTCTTGTAGCTCTCTGGATACCTGTGCGCACTGTAATCTACTAAACTCATTGTGTGTCACTGGGTATTCAGAATAGATTTCTAACTGTATATTTCTTTACATTCTATCCACAGAAGATGAAAACGATGACGATAAAGGTAAATTAATTAAATTCTTACGCGCGTGATTCTAATTTGGAGATAGTGAAATTATATTTTTAATTAATTGTTCTTTTCTTTCAGATATGGGACCTCTTTCAAGGCTGTCACGAAGGTTCGGAAACGTAATTGATTGTGCAGGTTTATAGAAGAGGCTATCTATCAACATACTGCTACGAATTTTACCCTCATGTATTGCAAAAATTATATCGTTGCGAATGAGGAGAACTTAACAACTTCATAATGCAATTTGTTCCTTTTTACAGACGTCTGGACAAAGAATTCTTACAATTTGAAAGCGAAGGGACAGAACAGGGTACCCAAACTTCTTGTGTTTATCTCCTGGTTTATCATTAAACAGTTCTTTGAAGAAAGGTCGACCTTCCTCTCTTGGATCGACATCTTTTTCAGCTATTTGGTTTTTAAAAGTTATTGTTGTTTTGTTTACTTCTTTAGAGATTCGACCGTATTCTACATTTGTCCCAAGAAAACAAGTTGGAATCACCTTAAGTAGAGAGTTAGTGTCGACATTCGATATTGTTCAATTGATAGTTACTTAAAGTGTTTTAAGAGTGAAACGTCACTCACATATTTTATTCCCTGTCATTGTATGGTGGAAACATAGTACGGCTGAATATTCCATGTCGCAACCTATATGAAGCGTGGGAAATTCCAGCTTCTACATAGTCTCGCCCTCAGAACGGAAAAATCCTTTAAGAACCTTCTATAACGGCTGTTCGCAAAATTCAAAGGAGAGTTTCCCTACATCTACTTAATTTGGGTGGGGTTTGCATTTCCGTTTTTGTTGATCGTTTTATATAGTAGTGTGAATTCCTTTTTAGGGTTCAAAACTTTGTTCCTCGCACGTCCACAAGAAACGAACTACTCCGAGACTACTCGTCGCCTTCCGACAAGCCTTCGCCGATGATTCGCTCAAACACGCTCACTACTTTTGAAAAGTTGGGAGACTGGAGGTTAGTTTTACAAGATCACGTGAAAATCATGTATACTTCCCGTCAAAATCACGTGCCACATTGGTCTGTCTACATCTCGTGTTTTGTGATTTATGTTTTGCAGTTCAACAGAGAATGCTCCACCCATCAATCAACGTCGAACTCTTCAGCTGAGCAAAGACAGTTCAGCAGGATTTGGTTTCACTCTGCAGGTATTTAAAAGTGGAGGGGAACCTGGGACAGAAGGGAGGTCTTGTACATGCGTACTCGTCGTGCGGTTTTTCAGTGATATTAACTTCACATGGATATCCATCGCGGGTAGTTTTTCCGTCCCCCCCCCCAAAAAAAAAAAAAAAACACCGAGGGCTTAAAAATTCACGCAGCACTAGTTTTAGTATAAAATTTACACGCATCTTAATAGGAAGCAGACTCGTATGTACGTAGTGCGAACCATTTTTTTTTTTCGTCTATAGACGTACGGAATTGTCCAGCAATCAGGTGACGTGGATTACATGACTTTTGTTCTCAGTGTAGAGGAAGATGGACCAGCCTACATGGCAGGACTCAGACCAGGTGAGCCAATATGACACATGCTTTTTACTCTACATTCTCCCTGAGCAGATTTTGATATACAAATCCAGGGTTTTAGTCACAGTGCGAAAACAAAAAAAAAAGCCTAAAAACCCTTGCAATCCGAGATTACTAGCGTAAAACTCAGCTGAAAATAGCTCTCTAAGTCGTTTTTTTTAATGCCTTCCTTTCTTTCTTCTTTCCCGCTCACCTGTTTGAACTTGTTTCATTTTTTTTTTACTGATTGACAGGAGATCTCATTCTGGAAGTTGATGGTGAAAGCGTGGAGAAGGTGGACCACAAGGAAGTGGTGGCACGTATTCACCAAGCTTCTAAATCAGTCAGGTAGTGACACGTGTAGTGTGCGTGATTCGCACGTGCTGTGTGGTACACGCGACCAGTACGATAGATTGACGTGCAAACACTCTCTACGTAATCAATACATTGTTCAGAAGATAGACGCTAAAGTCGCTGAGATGGTCAGCTGGGGGAGACTTTCTTAAGGTGGTACTCAGTGTTATCACAACAAACGTGTATTGAAAGTGTATCTAAAAACCCGGCGAGTATAGACGAGGATAAACACCAAAGAGTGGATGGCTTATATAAAGATTCTCCATGACTCGCTTTGACGAAGGAAGTTCTTAGAAATTAATTAATTTCCTGTTGTCTTGAACTAAATTTTTTAGATTGGTGGCAGTATTTGTAGATGCTCTTCGAAGAATGAAGATGAATACCAGACTAAAATTACTCCAGGTTTGTACCTATTACACTCTCAGTTAACCTTCGTCTTTATTTGTACCCTTTTGAAAAATATTTTTCGTTTTATCTCTATATCTTTCGCTTTCATGACCCTTCCGCCACAAGATCATCGCAATTTATTTTTGTCAAAGCTTCCTTCATCGTTCTTTCCTTTCCTTCTTCTTGGCGTTGTTTCCCCTAATTTTGGTTTGGTAAACATCAATCCCTATTAAGAGGAGCACGGGCCGTCTAATTGCAAAGAATGATGCCATGAAAGATTTGGAGAAAAAGATTTCACCACCAACAGTAGTTATGAAAACACGTTCATGTACGGACCCTCCAAACGTTATTCCAAGTCAAAGAAATGTTGAACAATAAAACTTAAAAATTCCCCACCCTCCCCTTCCTTGGATATTCTCCTTACGTGTTTGACCTTCCCGCTTATTGAAGGATCTTCTTATATTCGAAACAGGCTGAACTGGCAGACAAGGAACTCTTATTCCAAGAATTGTGTAAGAGAGAAGATGAAATACTCCAAGGTTTGTATTGACGAGGAAGTGGTCTCTCCTAACGTGGTCGATACGATATCAAGTGAACAAGTGTTTAGAATAAAGAAAAACATAAACTAGGGAATATCAATTGATTAAGGGAAAAATTCTTCTTCCTTTGCCTCAACAGGAAAGGGAATTTCCTCCTCAGAGATGTCTTCACTGGATCTACCTCGAGAGAGAACGAATTCTTTTCTGTATACCCAAGAATTAACCAGTACTTTCAGTAAACAATCGCCAAATGTTCACGACAGCGTTTTACAATATCGCCAAGCTTTACACGACAAAGAGGCTCGTCGAAGTTCTTTGCCAGATGGAGTTGAGCTTGGAAAACAGCGAATTACTGCGACCACTGGTTCTGAAATGTTAAAAAAGTTTTCCTCTCCAGATCTAAGCGCGCAGCGGCGCAAACCAATCAGTGCTAAACTGATAAAAAGTTTCCGCAAGAAAAAGCCGTCAGTGGAAAGTTTTAAGTCATACTTGGAACTCGATTTGGACGCTGAGAATCCTGGGAAAGAGGAGGAAACTGGAAGTGATACACCTGGTCCCGATGTTTTTGAGCCAGCGTTGACCACCGCTGAAGTGACAGCTACGGCAGTGTTAGACGAACCCAGGACTTTAGAACGAGAAGCTCCAGTGACAAGCAATTTTACTCCTTTAGAAGAAAACCCAAAGCTAAGTTCTCTTATACGAAGCAACAGTGAGCAGAACAGTTCTACCCTCTACAAGGAGTTTTCGGAAAATCCTGATGTGTCAAACCAAGATCGAATTGCACCAGGAATAGCCCAGATGAAGAAACGGTTCGAAAAATCCTCGTCGTCAAAAACGTTACCGACAAAGTCTCCCAAGCCAGCGCAGGACGAACGGAATGGAAACACTCTTGGCTCTAATGCTCTCCGAATGGCGGAATTTCATGAACTCAACCAGAGACAAACTCCTTCCTCCTAACGACAGGAAAAGTAACTTGAAATAGAGACGAGAGATGAATTAAGGCATAGTTATCACGTGTCTTTGTGCACCTCCCCCTGATAAGTCTTAAGTCAGAATGATGTTATTGAGCAAACAATTTGATCCCTGAGGAAAGGTGGATTTGGGTGCATCAAAATTCTTTATGTTCACTCATGAGGAACGTATCGTAAGATTAAAAAGCCCTGCGAGCATCAAGGTGCCTAACCCACTCTATCTCTCCCCGCTCCGCTCTTCTACGCAGAAGGTTCGGCGGGTGGGCGTTGCAAGGCCAATTAGCCGCTTTACACAAAGAGCGAAGGCTCGTGTTGGAACGCAAATGTAAGCAAACTGAAAGTCGCCGGAATAGTTACTGTAGTATCTACAATTTGCGTAAAGCCTCAGGGCTAGATGAGAACTCTAAGCAATTAACAAATGTTTGGAGAATTACAATTTTTTTAATTAAGTACCGTACTCAGAGAACTTGCAAATGCAACGGAATAACAATTTCCTTACAGCAATAGGGAAAGCTTTGAATTGATTCACCTACAAGTTAGTAGTCTCCTCGGAATGACAGGTTTTGTGATAAAAATAATTAAAGAATGGATGATTTGAAATTGGATATTGTTCTCATGAGAAATGTTAAAAACTTGCCATCGGGATTCATGTTCTCGTAACTGAAAAAAAAAAGTTGCCAATTCGCTTTGTTTTTTGCAAAGTAAGACAAAGAATTGTTTACGGTTTATGATGCAAATGCACTGCTATTGTTCTTCTCGTCAAAGTTTTCTTTTATTTCCCTATTTCCTCGTTTCTGTTCCGTCGTACTTTCCAACCCAGATCAACAGAGATTCAAAAGGCAAACTAGGTTTGTGAAGGAAATGTGGACTAGGCGAGACAAAAGATTTGATCCTTTCACCCCTAAGAGTGTGTAACATCTAATTTTTCCATATAATATCTCTTCTGCAACACTCGTTATGGTCGCCAGAATATAGGAAATGGTCACCAACTAAAGAAGCGCTTGATTGTTAAACAAATTCTCCTTGTCAGCACCTTAAGAAATGTATGATAAACGGTATGGAGAATGTGCATACTGATACTAGGGTGTAAAGGGTTAATGAGCAGAGGAACTTGTTAGCACGTGCGTTTAGAAACTTTGTACATTTCGATACCGTTCACCGGTCAAACACTTGCAAAATCAAATTCTGAATAGCCTAACATTTCATATTAAAGAGGGGGTCTGGCGCCATTGGAGATGGTAAATATCGCGTCGTTTGCGAAATTTTTAATGGAAGTTAAGTTCGAATATTGTTTGATCGACGTTCTCCTTGGCATCGTCGGCGAGAGGGGCTCGTCAATACTTGCTCAATGTTTCGATTTGCTTTTATTCTGAAATATTTAAAATATTTTTTCATAACAGTCAATGTGTACACCTCTTTAGTTTACAAATTTATGGCTCATTTAACTGAAAACATTCTACGTTTTATAGTGGTGTGTCAAAAGCTTATTCGACGACTGAAAATGTCGTAGAGTCAATAAAATTCTAAACCTCTTTAGCTCTCCCAACCCCATTTGCGTTCTATATCAATGGGTAGTCGACTGAATTTATTTAATTTTACAAAGAAAAATCTTCTTAAAAACAAGGACAACGACAAATCGGTTTATCCGAACATCAAAATTGGTGGTCGAAAATATTCGATTCGCTAGGGCTAGTCGCCAAGACTTCGGCACCATCGGGTTTTTCCGAAGGAACATTGATTTCCGACGATACGGCTCGTAGTGATTCGGAAAAACTCGTTCCGTCTATTTGTTGAAGTTCAATATGTTCTTTTGTAGACTTGAATCCCGGGAGTTTCAAGTAGCCAAGACTGTGGGCTTTCTTATGTGACTTTGTCGTCTGCGATGCTGACTGGTCAGAGGAAGAACTCTCTTTACTTGAATCATTTCCTTCGGCGTCAACTCCTTCATTTCCTTTCAGAACTACAGCACCATCGCACTTTGTTACGCTCAATCCACTAGTTGACAGAGCCAAAATATTTCCAATCACTAAAACAAAGAAAGAGCAGAGATAACTGATTTAACAAAAGATGGACAGTTTTAAATCTTACCCCGAGTAACACATAGCCACTTCTGTTTGGAGCACTATAGATATGAGCCAAATAGTAAGTAAATTGTAAGGCGTTGAAAAATAGAGTGCTGGCAGTCTGCCTTTTTCAAGATAAAGAGTAACTTTTCGCGGGAAAAGGCTCGATCCGGTCCATTCCTGTTCAAATGCCTGAAAACGCTTTTAGGCCCTCAGGAGAACTTAATAAAAAAAATTGTAAAGCTCACCAATCATTCACAGGTCAAGTTCAGGAAGGAAAGGTTTCCACTTTTAACTTATTAATTATTGAAGAGATTAAAGCTTTGGTCATTTAAAGATTTAAAACTACTCTTGACAAGCTAATTCTGAAGACCACAGGGAACGTTGGGGTTATGAATTTTCGAGAATTCAACTAACATTCTTCAGGAACTTTCCAATTACCTTTCAAATTTCAGACAGTTTTCATTCTGAGTAACACTTTCTATTGCAAGGGGAAATTTTGAAAGAACAAGGAAATGGATGAAAGTACAAATCCAGCCACCGCTAACCATATCACTACTTATGACTGCACTGGTTGTAACCATTAACTTTGCTGATGCAAGCGCGGGAAAAGAGGCAGCTTGACTTGCACCTGATTGGTTTAAAATGAGCGCCTTACCTCGGATTGGCGGAGAAAACTACACTTCCTACCTCCTACGTTTGCACGTAGTCTACACAAGCTTAATTCCTAGGGTACGCTTCTTTATCGAGTTTTGTTCCTTTAAGCTTTCTGAGGCACAACTTTCAGCGCTTAATATAATAAAGCCAGCTTAAAGCCTTTCACTCTTTGCATTTATTTTATCAGATAAATATTACTCTGACATGTAACATGATTCAATACAGACAGGTTGCATATTTCATTAATCTATTTGCATTACAGAGAATAACAGGACGCTTTACACAAAGTATTGACACATTCTAAAGACAACTCACATTGACAGCAATTTTAAGTCTAGATTTCATTCACCCCGAGAAGAGAGGCAATAGCTACAATTAACAGTTTATTAGAATGACATTTATCTTGGCTTTTTCATAATTAACAATTAGATTACAAGCTTGAGATGTAAGATCACTGATAGTGTCTGAGTCACTGCGAACCTACCCCTCCCCTAACCCAAAAAAAACAGTCAATTGATAACAAGTTAGGGTTAATGCTGAGTTAGGGGAGGGGTAGGTGAGCAGTTGGTCAGATACTGACTTAAATCCAAGATTTCTGTCATGACATAGTCGATAACAGCAACCTCTAAATCAACTGTCATGCATAGAAACCAAGGGAGCATAATTTTTTTGTTTTTGCTATAAATCTACTAGTAGTTGAAAATTTTGCAACAAGGCAAGCTCCTGTTTTTATTTTGTTTTGTAAGACTACTTGCTTTACTTGCTGTCTATCAAGGAATAGGTAGGGAGAAGCATAACCAATCAGATTGCAGCATTTGTGTAATAAGACACCATTAGATTTAAACAAATACAAAGTAAATTAAAATTAATGCCAAATTATATTACATTTACCCTTCACCGCATGTATTTACATATGATGATATTAAGGAACTAATAGCACCTATTTTCAGCAGCTTTCTATAGAGCTTAATCATTATTGCTCAAAGCATTTGAAATCTAAATTGCATGGATACCAGAGTTCAAACCTCACTAAATACCACAAAAATAAACTAAGTTTTCATTGTACTTAACATTTATTTATAAATATATTTGTCCCTACCCTTTGCACACTGCATTACAAACACATTTTATTTACAAAAATCACATATAAATGCTAACTTGTTTAAATTATTAAATATTATTATCATTGAATTGCAGTTTATCAGATTTATTTGAAGCAGTTACCATTAACTTGTGCACTTAATCAAAATAAATATTTTTATTTTATCATTAAGTTTCAACCTTGAATTGAAACACAAATACCTCAAAACTGTATCATCAAATATAGGTACAAGAAAATATACTGGGAAATTTAACACTTAGATTGTGTTTCACGAGAAGATATTTCATTTTAAAGGAAAAGAATGGCCTATTTAAACTATTTGTACTAAGCTAAATAACCACTTAATCAAAGCCAAGTGTTAAGATACTTGACACTGGAATTATCAACTGAATCAACAGTATCAGTATACACATCACTTATGTTATCACCCTCATCACCACCAATAGTTTCCAGACAAGACTCATAAGATTCCCCATCAGAGCAATATATACCTGGTGCCTCCATTATAGAGCTACTGACCGATGGTACAGTCTTACTACTGATAGCTTGGGTGTCCTGTGTGTCTGTCAGGTACATCTCCAACCCTAGGGGACCATCACTGGGAAGGCCTCCAGTTTGTTCCAATGAATGTTTGATGGCATTAGTGAGCTAAAACAAGTAAATACAAAAACAGAGAGAGAAAATACTAATTTAATGTAGGGGTTGATGAAGATTAATGAATTTTCAAGTACAAAAAAGGTCAGAGTAAAATGCATGCACAAAATTGCAGAAATTCCAGATATAAAAAGTCCTTACCATATGAGCTGGGGCAAACAAGCTGTGAGCAGCACGCCAGTGAAGATCTTCGAGAGCTTTGGTGGCCAGAGTTCTTTGGCCATTGTACCTGTACATTACATCATTAAAACTATTGATACGATTTGAGAAATGTTCACACATAAGCATTTCCAGATCTTTGACAACCCAAAAGAGTACAAGGTATTAATTGCCTATGCATAGCATGATAACATTATATAAGTGTAGGGATTCAAATTCTTGCAAGGTTTAAATTTATTTTTAAAAATCAGTTTTTTTATTATTATTTCCCTTTACCTTAATGCTGGAATTAACCATAGCACCACTATTTAAAAACACAGTTCTTCATGTACATTTTGACATAATTATATTTATACACCCTAGCATCGGTATGCATATTCTCCATAATGTTCTTTATACATTTCTTAAGGTGCTGATTAGGAGAATTTGTTTAACAATCAAGAGCTTCTTTAGTTGGTGATAATTTCCTTTACTCTCATGACCTTAATGTGTGGTTCAGGGGTGATATTGTAAGGAGATATTGAATGCTAGTCACATAACTTACATCAGGAAATAAACCCCATAAATCATCTCTTGAATTATCTCTGTGCTAAGTGATATCCTAGGATGGTTCACCAGTGTTGTTAATTCTTCACTTGAGAACTCTGACGCCAATCCCTCCTTCCCATGCTGACAGAGTTTGTAAAAGCCGCATTTAGCCAGCCTTGATAACATGTAGTAAATGAAAAATTAAATGTCAACTCTTTGTAAAATTTGACTTTTATTAAAAGTAGAATCAAATTAAAGCACAGGTCTGGTAACATTATAGATGTCCTTTTCCTTTTTGCTAAAATTAGTAACACGCCAAGTGTATTTAACATTACAATAGTTGTGCTAATTACAATGATGCTTCACTTAGTTAATACATTTCTGTTACTTACATTAACAACACTAACAGTATTTACATCCCAATACTAGCACTAAAAACAATGGTATCACAAGTTACACAGCTTATATTTTAAAACTGGTGTCTCTTTTTGTTTTGTTTTGTTTTTTCTTTTGTAATAAAATAAATTAAAAAAGAAAAATAATAATACTAAAAAAAGTGTATTTAACCAAGAGATTTCATGTACTCCTGCGTCTGTTCAATAATAGATCACAGATGACATCAAAATGTGGCAAGAACAACAAAGTGGCAAAAGAAGCCCAGCTCAGTGTGTCATTGATGTTCTTCCCATATTTTGACCTCTTCTGCAATCTATTTCTGTACACAGACCCACAGCAGTATGGAATCTATTTGTTTTATAAAATTATAAAAAACAAACAAATTTTAATGGTGACATCAACAATACATTTGTCCTCCTAAAGGAACCAATCAAATGTGTGCATAGTCCAGCTTATAATATATTATCTAGTAGATACTACACTCCATGTCTGACTAATTCAAGCAAAAATGTCTGCAAAAGATAAAAGGTTCACACCTTATTGTTTTCTTTACATATTTCAAATTTAAGACAGGGTTGAAGATAGTTAAAATCATTCTTCTCCAAGTAACCTTACTTCCAGACAAATCAATTCTTAAAACAATGTTTGCATTATACTGATGAAAAAAAAAGCAGCAATATATAGAAAGCCTGAAAAGGAAGGAATTCATTAGAGATGTACAAAAGATAACTAGCACTTATAATGAAGGGTAATGCAGCCGCACTTTGTTGCCACATCTTTTCATGGCATTGGTAATGAGTATCAAGGCTGTGCTCTAACGGCGCCCGGTCGCCTGAGGCGACTAACATTTGGCCTCGGGCGAAAAATGAGAGGCATCGTTCCACGACAACATAATCATCGACTTTGATCGTGACAAGTTTCCAAATAGTATTATAATTTTTCTTTTAAATTAGGATGGCTCGTTAAGAAAAGCAATTGTTACTTCTGCTCTGACAGGCGTAAAAAGTACGGTCGACGATTAATAAATCGCTAAATGAACACGGGAGTCGTTCTTTTAAAAGAAAATGTTGTTCCATCGGGCGCGCGTTGATGTTCAAAGGTCGTTCCACGTGAATTCACATGTAGCATAATCCTTGACTTTGAACTTGACTAGCTGCACAGTTTTCGATTTTAACGGCTTTTCCAATAGCATTAAAATTTTTCCTTTAAATTGGGATGGCTCATCAGCTAGTTTTTCAAAAGAAGTTGTTACTTCTGCTCTGATAGGCGTAAAAAAGTACGGTCGGCGATTAATAAATCGCTGAATAAACACGGAGTCGCTCTTCTTTGCTAATTTAATATTTTAGCCGGCTTTTTACTGCCGTGTCTGCGAGGCAAAACATAACTTAAGATTGTTTTTCCAGTAAAACACGATGTATAAAAAAAAAAAGATACGTTTTTTGTGTGATTGTTTTAGAAACGGGTATAAACTTTATAAGTCCCGCATTGTCCTTGGTGTCGTGACAAGTTATTACGTATCACGCACTAAAAATAAAATCGACCGAATCCACAAAAAGCTCATTTGTCTTGAACATTTCACCGATAGGTTTTCAGGAGGTCAAAGGATACGATGTTTCATGAACATAAAAACAATAAATAAATGCACATAGTTCTATTTGACTCGTTACGAAAACAGTTTGTTTAATTTTTAATAATTAACTGACTGATTTATTAATTTGGGCGACCAACTAGGAGGCCCGGGCACCTCAGCTAAAATGTTTGGGAGCCCTTCGGGCTCCCCGAAATTTTGATTTGGGCGACCATCTTTTAGGCCTGGGCACCCAAGCTAAAACGCTTGGGAGCCCGAAGGGCTCCCTGAAATTTTCCTTAGAGCACAGCCTTGAGTATACTGCAGCGATTGAAAATACTTGAACAGCAATCTGCTGTTCGCCTCTTTAACCCTCCTAGCAATATCACTCCTGAATCACATATTCATGTCATGAGAATAAAGGAAATGATCACTGACTTAAGAAGCTCTTGAGTGTCAAATTCTCCTTATCAGCACCATAGGATCTCTTTAGAGAGCAGTATGGAGAATATGCATACTGATGTCTGGGTGTAAAGGATTAATGCCCATTGCAGACTACAAAATATTAAATTTGAATGAGCATACTGTCTTTACAAGTAAACCATGTCAGACTCTACCTTTCTCATAAGATTTTTCCCAGAGAAAAATAAAAACAACAATAAAAACAATCATAACACTAACCTATGTGTAGCAGTGATTTTGTTTTGAGGTTTTCCAGGACCTGGTAACATCACAATTGTCTCACTCTGTTCATGTCGGCTCAGAGCTGTTTCTGTCAGTATTGAAGATGTTGTAAAACTCTGCTGGGGCTTGAAAAAAAACTTGAATAAGTGAACAACTGAGGCACTTAAGTTAAGTCTTACCAATAAAGTATGAAACTGTTAATATAAGTTTCAACTTGTAATTCAGTGTTCTTAAGATGTATCAAAGTCAAAATCAAAACTTAGTCAAGTATCTATTTAATCCTTTCACTCCCAAAAGAGACCAATAACTTATTTCTCCTTACAATATCAATACACTTTCAAGCTGAAAGGTAATGAGAAGAAAGAAGAAAGAAGAAAGAAAGATAACAACTTCTGATCAAACTGTACCTCATGGTAAATTGAAGGCCTCGAAAGTGATGGCAGTCTGAACTTCTTAACATTCTGCTCTCCGTTATCATTCACAACTTCCTGTAGTTGTCATAATTCAGGGTAAAGGACCATTAGATGTATAAAATAGTTATAATTTTGTTAAAAAATAATAGATAGACAACAAGTTTTTAAGTTTTTTTTAGTGTTTATTTCTGATTTTAATAAACTAGTATCCTCAGCAGATGAAGGAAAATAAATAGCATTTTCATTGTACTTACATCATTATAGATAGCCAACAGCAGAACTTCTAGACTGCCATAGGCCTAAGATGAAACACAAACAAGAACAATTACTATTTTCAAATAACTTGCTGCTACCATAAACTAAGGATATTGTTCAATCCTAATAAACTGATTTACACACTTTCATCAATAAGCTTTTTCTCAGCAGTAAGTGAATTTGATTAACAATCAAGAGTTTCTTTAGTTAATGATCATTTCTTATATTCTTGTGACCTCATCGTTTGAAACAGTGGTGATGCTGTGGGGAGAAATCAGATGCTGATAACCTCTAAGAGGTAACAGGTACAAAGGGGGTCTTTTACTAGAGGAAAAAATTCTCATGATCTAATAGTTCAGGGTATAAACACATGCACCTGATCTAACAAGAGAGTTACTATCATAAACCATTTATTGAATCAATGTATTCAAACCCTCATGTAAATTATTGTACTGCACCTGATGATCTCTTCTTGTTGTGGCAGACAGATAATTCCAAATCAACACAGGAACAAACTGAAGAACAAACAGTTTTCCAGCTTTTCCCCTTTGATTATACAACTCGAATAGACCTTTATAAACTGAATCTGTCAGCTGGAAAAAAAAATTATTTTGTGATTATCAGCCCGAGAGTAGAAGTGTAATATGCAAGGAAAGTGACACTGCCCTTCTCCTCCTTTCCAGTCTCCACTCACCTCATGTGTATACTGGTTAGGTAAGCTCTGAAATATTCCATTCACAAAGTCTTTATTACTCTTCAATTGTTGAAATCTTTTTGGCGATTCTGATTTGGAGAAAGACTGAAGCAAAACAGATATATACATGAGTCGTCGTAGTAACAGCTGTTTGACAAAAAATATGTAAATAATTTTAGAACAACAACCACCGTGCAAGAGCTGACAGAATAGAATAAAACAAAATTTCATGAATATCCAATAAAACGATAACTATTTCAAGAAACAGAACAAGCAATTAGCCATTTTAGTGTCTTCCTTGAAAAGGAATCGTTGAAGAGACATTGAACTTGGGGACCATATCACTCACGTTGCTATTCTCATAAGTCTGAATATATTACGGTAAATATTAATATGTACTCACATCTAAAACTTCTTTGATCGATTCCAGATCCATTAAAGAAGATTGCTCTGTTCTGAAGGACAACTGTTGTCTGCAGCAGGTTACAAACTTACTGTTTGCTTAGGGACTTGAACAGGAAAGCTTTCCCCAATCTTAGTTTTCAGCTCAGAATGACGAATAAAATACACCTGACACATCATATGAATATTTTCCATATAATTAAGTTAAATTCTTGCAGATCGTCTTAAATGACGATAAGGAAATTCCTGAAAGTAAGGGCCTAACCACAACTCAACGCCGCCATTTGTAGAAAGCGGATCAACAGAGAAGCACTGGGCAGTAGAATCTTTCCCATTCTCTCACGACCGGAAAGAACAGTTCAACATGGCGGCCGCAATGCTCGGAAACAGAACCAATTCTGTTCTTTTGCCCTTCCTGGATTCGATTACAAAGTTGAAACTCATTCGCAACCACTCCAATATGGCTTTACGTTGTAAATCTGGGAGAAATAAGTTATATAAAGTCAAGGTGTGTCAAAATATGTTTCGATATGGTTCTCTACATCACATGTGTTAGAATGTCTCTTGGCCTTGAGTAATGTGTTCCTAGATACTCATTGATAAAGCTACTTTTTATCTAAGAGGACTGTTACTGAGCCTTTTTCTTTTTTTTCCATTAAATCAGCCATCAAAAATCTCCATCATCATTTTTTTGTTCGACGTCCTTTAAAGGATTCGAAATCTGTGAATTCCCTGTATCCATTTAACACTGTACTTAAGCTTATTAATTTTTGTTGATAAAGAGTTAAAATAATTGACAATTGAAGAGGGTGGATCTTGGCTAATATTTCAAGCTCAGCTTAACCATCAATGCTCTTTACACCTTGTGATCAGTATCCAGATTCTCCATACTCTTTTCAATGCAATTTCTTCGGTACTGACAATGAGAATATATACATGTACAAGCAAAATACAAATGTTGTTATGTTTTGTTCACAGCCAAACATCAGAAAACTCATGAAAGCAGATGAAATCAGACATGTGTTTGAAACAAATAACATGGTGATTGTTTGCCAGTTCAGTGACATGAATACAGCTGAATGGGAAGATTTACGATACACCCTTCGCAAGGATGAAATTGGGGTGAAGATGTTCCCTAACAAAATTACATGCAAGGCATTGGAAAATACCAAATACAGGGAGATACTCCCTCTGTTTCTGGCAGCAACAGTTGTCACTTATTCCAGAGAAGCCAAAGTGAAGACATTACTCACAGAACTCAAGAAACAGCCAAAAATGGGGATATTGGGTGGTAAAGTTGATGAGAAGCTTCTTTCAAGGAAAGGCGTTGTGGATTATGCTAAGTTACCACCCTTAACTGAACAATATGGCCAGTTATTGCAGATGGTGACAGAACATTCAAGAAGACTCACAACACTCCTTGAACAGAACCAGATGAACCTTATTGCAAATTTGACGCAATATGTTGACAAGGATGAAGTAAAGAGCTGAAACCCCCCACCTTTAGCTGTGTAAATTTAACTTGCAGTGAATGTTCTTGGTATCTTTCAGTTCACTGGCTGTTTCTCAGAGTAGGTTTTCATAACTGTACCACAAGCCTGATATTTGTTTGTCAATAATGTTACCAGACTGAGTTATTGTAAAGAGAGGCAGGAAAATTGAGAAAAACTGAACCAAAATCATTATGTTTGTTCTTAACTGTTCCAGTAGGATGATGATTTTTGGTACATACTGAATTATCTTGCCTTTTCCACAAATTTGATTTGACTGGACAGGAGTATGAAAACAAAGCATGCATATACATGCATCTCAAAGACCAATATGAAAACCAAGACAAAGTCAAGACCTCTCAAAATACTGGTAGTGAACTTTTTGCTTTTGCTCACTAGTCTTGCCAGTATGGAGTGCTTGAAGAAAACAGAATGAAGGATATTGGTTTTAAGTATCTACATGCAGCTACAATATGTAAGACTCATAATAACTGAAAATAAAATTCATTATTTACTCACGTGGTATTCCCGTAATTCAAGACAAATTTAATAAATTAGTGTCCTGAACAGTGACAAGTAACACCCTTTTTGAAATGAACTGATCATTCTCATATGCATAAACAGCCTTCAAATGGTGAAACAGTAACCTTAAAAGAAGTTTTCATCTTAATCCACTAGCCCTTTCATTCTAAAGATCTCATCTCTAATTCTCCTCATTCTCTGCCAATTCTTTTGATGTTAAAGGGGTTAAGTTTCTAAGGAAACTGTGGTGCTGCATTGGTGGGAGAGTGTAATGGAGTAATTAAGTGTTATCAACAAGTTAATAATGTAAATTGGCCACTGTAAAGAGTTTCAAAGCTAACATTTCTGGCATTAGCCCTTAGTCATTTGTTCAGACAAAGGGCCAACCCTCAAAACATCAGCTTTGAAACTTTTTACAGTGGCCTACTTACATTAATTCTTATGATGTCAGTTTGGAGAATTTGGCATTGGATCAACTAATAACCCCCTCAATTGATATTTTTCTTTATTCTCAAGTTTTTGAAGAGGGGTGTTGCATGATCAGCCTAAGAACAGCTGCCAAGTAGACTGATCACCTGTCTTCTTGCTCATGAATTCATATTTTAGGGAAAAAAATTTTATCTTGGTCACAAATGGGAGGTTAAGGGTTAAACTTTTACAGACTTCTGTTGTAAAATTTCAGGAGTATTATTATTCCATTAAACAATGATTTCTCATCACTGCAAAGGACATCAAGAGATCTTCACATGTGATTTACTAGTATTGTTATGCCCTTTATATCCCTACAAGAACTGACAAGGAATGAACAATGTGCCACAATGAAGAGCATGACTTCTGGGAGCAACTTAACAAAGGCAATACAATGAAAATTCCCTAACTTAATGGTCCAACAACAACAATGACCATAAATTCGAGCTGTATTCAGTGTTCTGGATGCACACAATCCAATTTCTGTTTATTTTTGTTCCGAACACGGCTTGAAAAAATAATTACATTTAAATCAGAGATCATTTTCATACAATGCAAATCAGCCGACGAACACCTCAGATTATTTTAAAGGCAATTTACATCTTAATACTTTTTCATGTCACGCACAAACAGACCGGCAAGCATCAAGTAGAAGCGTTACAAACAACAGGAGTAATTAACAGAAAAAGTTCACGATCCAACTTGCCATTAAAATCACAGAGAATTCTTCCACTGGTTTGAAATCAAACAGTTACAAATATTGCTGTCACTTTCCCAAGTTCCTTTGTACAAAAGTGTGTCTCAATGCATCCATAAAATAGTTTATTCCCTCAGAGTTACGAAAATGTATTTTCAGGCGGTAAATAATCCATTCTGGTTAATGATGTCCCCCGTGATCATCAGGTTTTTCAAGTAACTTCTCAATTCCGATGGCGATCACAAACGCTCCCACACCCCACCAAAATCCAGGGAGAAACTTGCGAATGTTTGCGTGCTTGTTTATGGACGGATGGTATCTCCACGCCTCAAATCGCTCCCAAGGATCTTTCCGGACATTTCTTGCAGAGGGCATGTCTCAATAGATCGTCAAAATTTAGGGAAAATTCCAACCTTCCTCAAATCTTCAATACAATACTCGATATGCTTAGGAGCCAAGCCTAGAGCGTCAACGCACACACAGGGTTATGGGATAGCCGTAATTGACACATTTGTAAACATAAAAATTACGAGACTTCATGAGGAGTCCACAAGTTAATATTTGACAAGGTGAGGATGCTTTCTCCTTGATTCTTTATTTATACCAAGGTCTGTTTAATGATGTAGGTCTATGTACTATTTAGAGCGTAACCTCATCACGTATTCAATTTTCTCTCCGTATCTTGATCGATGTGCTCGATCGCGAAGTAATTGCGAAGGACTCGATTAGCTTGGGCTGCCGGCGAAACTAAGAAAAAAATTGTGCTTAGCGGAACAGGTGTTTTGATAAAGTTTGTTGATGAAAATATCGGTTCAGTAGTATTTTAACATATGACTTAAAATGAAATATTTTGAGTCGCTGTGTCGATTAATTACAGAAAACCAAAGACAATTAAAATTACTCCTGGTTCACATATTTACAGGCACCCAAGGTACAAACAATACCAAGGCCGGTAAATTGTTTTATCTCTCATTTAATCGAAAATTTCTTGATTTTAAGTTTTATCCAAAATTTAACGGCAAAATTTCCGCAGAGCCCAGTAGTTCATTATGCATACAGTTCTTGGATAAAGAACACGATGGCGAAACAATCGATTGTGTTTGAGACTACGGTATTGTTTGAGAATAGTCTGGGGTGCTAAGGAAATCTTCCCAACTTGACGATTAGACGATGTTTCCTGAAGATTGAGAGAATTAGGGCTGCTAGAGACTTCATTATTTGGCGATTTGCATTTAGAATATGCAGACGGACTTGAGTGCGGAATGTAAATTACAGATGTAATTATTATATAGACTGGTTGTACATAAATCACGAAATTGTTGATTCCTTCAAAGGATAATGTTTCCGTCATTTAGTGCCATCGAAATTGTTTTATGGAATTGGCTTTTCAACTTAAATTTCCTTACTCAGTGATTTGAATTACTAGACTGATTCTTTATTTTTTAAGTTACTCTAGCCTCAAGGCATAGACAAGAAATGAATATTTTATCAAAGTTTAAAATGCGAGGGGCAAGAGCGATCAAGTGAAATATGTTCCACAAGGCTTGTCTGAAGGAAAGAGAGTCAACAAAAGCCCACCGATAACTGAGTTTGCCTTATTTTCGTGATGCGTTATCAAAGTTCAACAATTGATATCACCTCGACTTAATACTCTTTTGTTGGTTGCAACTAAATGCCCCTTAAAATTAAACAAACTCGATGGACATTCTTATCTTTTAATACCTACAGCGAAAGAAAATTTTGGACGGCACAATATCCTTGAGCAACAGAAGATGGGGGGCCAAGAATCAACGATGAAATTAAGGTACAAGTTGCTGAGTAATAATATGAATACATGAAGATATATCCTGATCTTTAAAGGTTTTCAAGTGTTGATACTCCTTCGATCTGATAGGCGAATTTAAAATATACAATTCATTAGGAGAGAAAGAAGAGAAGGCAAGTTAGTAGATGGGGAAAAAAAGGGGGGCGCCCTTGGAAGAATGGGGGGGGAGCCTAGGGAAAAGGGGGGCACGGAAGTGAGACCGGACGGTATCTTTGCAATCGCTTGTTGGATGGAAATTATCATATTTATGAATAAAAAAGACTGTTTTCGCCAATTGCAATGAAATATGAATAATTGCAGAGATGAGCAAGAGCCGAAATCATTTGACGACATCTCGTCCGCCGGAACACCAAGTACCAGTTCTCCGCAGTTTGCGTCTACCGACATGTTATACGCTGCGGCGTCGGTACCAGAACTAAGATCCAACCCCATAAGACCTAAGGAGTTACTGAGAAACCTGCGGAAGTACCATAAAGAAACAGTCCGCTTACCAGCCAGTGACACACAGTGGGCTAAACAACTTGTCTACAGCCATACCCAGAAACTGCTCGAGTTTTGCAAGCGGGAGACTGGGGTTGTTCGTAACATGGAGTACACTGGCTCTATGTATGAGAGACTGGAAACTAAGAAGAACAATGAGTTTGAAGTTATGGTTGTCTTGACGACGGGTTCCGAAGATGTTTCAGTCGAAGAAGTTGTTCCAGGACTGTATACCAAACTCAAATTGAACACTGAACAAGCTGATACGAAACTTGTCAAGTTTACAGACAACTTTGATTATCTGCGCCCTGATAAGATGCGAAACTTACTTGACAAAGTCGCCCAGACATGGACCGAAAGCTCAAAAAGATTCTCCGATGGAACGAGAGTGCGGACTCACAAGCATGGAACAGCGGTTGAGATGATTATCCGGGATACTAATAGAGGAGGCTCTGTAACCGCGCAGTTGGTGCCTTGTGTAAAGATCGAGGATGACGCCGGAATGTCGCGATATTTCGTGCCGTGCGCTTTTCAAGAATACACAAAATTCGAGTTGGAAAATAACACAGAGCGTGCGATTTTGTGGCGGAAATCATTTTCGCTGCGTGAAAGAGAGTTGCTGTCCAGTTTAGACCGTTCCGGAAGTACTTGTCGTACGGAATGTCTAAAAGTTCTCAAATTCCTTTTCAATTCCGACAGAAAGCTGCGCCCTTTTCATTTCCACATGCTAAAAACAGCCTTTCTACACTATCATAGTCTTGATCAAGACTGGCGCTCAGATCAGCTTGGGGAGAGATTCCTGGGCATGTTGAGGTACATTCGGGAGTGTATCACGAAAAAAGATTTGCCGCATTACTTCGTTCCCCGTGTTAATCTGATGAAAGTGCTCAGTGTCTCGTCACGTAACAGCATCGGCGCAAGACTGCAGCAGTTACTCACAAATGAAAAACAGTTGTTCTATGCAATTTCGGGATAGACTGCTGGGCACAATCAATGAAATCTGTCAATATTTCAGAATTTCATCTATGTAATTAATTACTGAAGAATAAACACTTTTTGAATACGCACAAACAATTAACAATTGACAAGGCACTTTTGTTTCACAAACTCCTACAATTTTGTTCACCACTTGATCTAAATCAGTGAAAATTGCTGTAAAGAAAGTGATTTCCCGGAAAAGTAAGTAGTTTTGTATTAGTCTTCGTAATGTATCACTTGGAGCACCAGATAATTACTTCAACGGTCTTTGCAAATAATCAATTGCAATTACCATCCGTTTTAGAAATCTATATGAGGCAAAGGATTATTTTATTCACGCTGTAACCAAAAGAATATATTCTCTTGACTGTAACACATAGATTCACTGTTTTCATGATATTTTTGGCTTCTTTATGCTTCTTGATACATTTTCTAGAAGCAAGACTCTATTTAGACGACGTACAATTCCTCCTTTTCGCAGAATTCCGACGCACCAGTCAAAATGAATCAATGCGCAACTATGGATGTTAGAGCGCCGCCCAGAACCCTCAAAGAGTTCCGCGCGGAGACTTTGTGATTCGTGCGTGACACATGTCAGATGATGAGTGTGAACATCATGTCAAGAGCTAGAAGCAGCGCCTTAAGTGATTTTGTGACATTGTCGGTTTACATGATCAACGCAACCTTGAATGACCTTTTAAATCAGTTCTTGGCAACAACCAATTACAATGTAGAGAATATCGTCTAAGATAGTGATTTCTTACAAATTTTGCAGAGTAGCTTTTTACACACCCGTTGTAAATAAGCGAATACGAGAGTGGAATAAAATAGTTTGATTGAGTCTAGTTCGTTAGAGTTCTATCCCTTGTAAACAGGGCAAAGTTTACGAAAATTTTTCAATTAATTTCTTTAATCAATCGCGCGACGGATTTCCCCGAAAAGCAGGGGCTCTTCGTAGTCTAGACTATATTGTGCATTATGAATTATGCTAACATACGTGTAAAAGGAACAAAATATAACAAAGTTTCCTACCAATACTGTGTCATCTATAAAACTCATTATTTTCTCTTGATAACCTATAACACAATGGTTAGTTACCAAAGAGAGTCCAAGTCGGCATGAATTTATGTTCAATTAACGAGATGAATCATTTTGCGAATGATGACTTAATAGAATTCCTTTTCCTGTCTCTTGAACCTTTATTATCAGAAAGTCAATTCTCCCGTTAGAAAAAGAGAGGATTTTTATATGCTTGCGATACTGCTGTAAAAATGATTGAGGCAATTTCCTCTGTTTTGTCGCAATTGTTACGATCAACCACATGCAGAATGTCTCAGTCTTATTCTTGTTTTAAAGCTTATTATGGAAGAAATACTACCTTAACAACCATTAACCACTAAGAACCTTACTGGAACCGGTTAACCGTCAGCCGTAAAATGGTAAAAACAGACATAGCCCTTCGGCGGTAAAATTGAAAAATTTTAACTATAATTAGTAAAAAAACTAAATAGATAGACTGATTTTCCTGTATGTCGCGATTGACCTGAGATAGCATGCAAATAGCGGTGTTACTAAAGGTCGGATCAGCAGACCGTGTAGCCTTTTTACAGACTTGTATGAATACATGCTTGTTTGTGGAGAAAATTCCTACAGGACCAAAACAGCAGCCTTGAGAAGAAACTTGTTTCATGTTTGTATTTAATTCATCTCCACACCGATACCAGTTGAATCCCAGCTGTTTAGTCGTGATTTCATTACGTTTACGGATACAGGTGAGTACAGAATATTACAGACTGGAGAACATCTTGGCCAGCTATAATTAATACCTTTGTAAATATTTTCGGCTTTGATTTTCAATCTTTATTCTTTCTCGGTTAAATTTTATCAAGGATACAACTGATGATAAAGTATATTGGCCACCATAAGGAGTTTCTGAAGCTGACTTTTCGAGTGTTAGCCCCTCTTTAGAGCGTATTAAGTAAATTGCGTGTTGTGCGTTGAGATGTGTGCGATATGTAGCACTTCCCAATGACGCAGCACCTTTGTTTCTTTGGGAACTTACCCTTTTCCTAAAAATTTAACAGTCAACCGTAAAAAAAGCAGCCCAGGATCAGCTGCCAAACAGTTTGAGAATCTTTCAAAACTCATCATTTTAAAGGCTTGCAAGGAAAGTTCTGCTTCTTGAAGAATCTTTGGGACTGTTAGGTTTCTGAATATATTAACTATGTGATTATTTCAATTAATTTTCGCCTAAACTGACGGTTTGAAAATGTAAACATTTAACAAAATATTTTAATATCAAAAAACAGCGTGCCGAAAAATAGATTCTATACAACAGAGACTGAATTGAAACGAGTCTACCCCGAGATACTGACTCAATCACAACATGAATATCATAAGTAAGATGAAAGAAATAGCGAAAGACGTTTATCGTCTTGTCACGCGCGTATGACAAAGAAAAATTCTGAGTCTCCGTGAGGAATCGAACTTCAGACCAACCACGCTCCGATGCTCTACCACTGAGCCACAGAGACCCAATGGTAAGCGACGCTCAGTAAGTCATGAGATCGAGGTGAATAGATACCAGCATGAGACCGAAGCCTCCAGCGGCGTTCGTTTGTCTTCGTTTGCACAAATGTTTAAGTAGCCAGTTGCAGTGACCGACTCACAGAAGACTTCATCTTATTCTGATCAGTGGTGAGTTCTTTCTTTGGCAGCATTTCCTCCACTTCGATACCCCTTAAAGATAAATTTATTAAAATCGCCAGCAAAATGTGCAATAAAGTACGGCAGAGAATCATTGTTGTATATTCAAAATTCACCTGTTTGATTATTTTCTCTTCATCTAAAATAATTTTGAAAACAATTATTGCACCATGACAAAAGTAAACATATGCACAAGCTATTTACTTCTTTGTAAAATTTCAACCAATCCGAGTATCCCAACTTTTCCTGAATCCGAATTTCTCTAATATCACCCAAAATACGTTAATAATCGTTAATTGTTTTCACTTGAACCCAGCAGTGATTTCCGAATTAGCTTCCACCTTCCCACTAAATACAGGATAACAACAAAAAAAACACTCTTGTAATATATCTTTTACGGCCTTTTGTATCTTAGTTTTGTTATTATACTACACATTTTAAGAATTGCAATATAAACATGAACACGAAGAATAGTCTTCAAGTTGAATAAAAACACATCTAAAGAAACCGTGCTTCGTTTTCCAAACAGCTGAATGTTAAAGAAAAAAATTTTGATATAATTCTACACTGAAGTACCTTATTATCAAGCGGAAGGAAATGAAAATGACATATCATAAATATGTAGATTTTTCCTTTAGAAACGAAACGACTTTTTTCGGAACTACACCACTGAGTATTTAGTTTGTGTCTTAACCATATGGCAGCTGCATAAACTCCATATAGAGGTAACTCATTATATTGCAAGGTTTGAAGTGATCTGAAGATATTATAGGTCCCATCCATGTAAGAACGGACGGAACAAATTTCGCCGCGTGTCGTTCCGAGGAAGTTCACTTTTAGCGTTAAAAATAGGGTGCCCCAAAAGACTTGCTTGCCATTCAGTGATCGCATGTTTAAATTTGGTCATAATTTTGTTCATTTCGTCAAATTGTAAACGTTTTCATTTCGTAAATTTCCACTGGTACTTGTCAAAAATAGATACTAAATTGATATTTAACCGTAAAAGGTAACAGTTTCAAATATTATAGTTGTCGTATTTCATCAAGTAATTTTGAACGGTACCGTGAGCGCTTTCGGCTTTCACTTATGTATGTAGTCAACTTCATGCGATAAAACTTACGATAAAACTTGGGCCACAACATTTTCCACGGAATGACTCTTCCTGGTTTTCGTTTAGCGAACAAAATTCCTTCGATATCTGGGGAGGGGGAAAGGAAATTTGGAACATTTGATTCGCATTTATTATTGATAAACAGCTGTTTCATTCCATATCTAAAGAGAGTAACTTATTTTTCTCAAAAATAACAAGATTATTTTGCGCAGCAAAATGTCTGAAACTACCAGTTATCATTTGCTGAAAAACCATACTGAAGAAGGAGAGGAAGAACGAGAAGGAAAAGAACATGAAAAAAAAATCCTGATCCAAGAAGAAGACGCGGTTGATCAAAATGAAGAGTCTGCAGAAAGGTCGAGCTTATGGAAAGCGGTTGCTAACCTCATGAGTGATATCGAGGGCACCGGCCTCCTCGCTCTTCCTTACGTGATTGTTGAGAGTGGCCTGGTAACGATAGCAGCTCTGGTCATGGTTCCCTTTATCACCTACTACACCGGAGCTATATTGATAGAGTGCTTGTATGAGACCAACAACGAAGGCGAAAGAATTCGAGTCAGGTCCAACTATAAAGAGCTCGGTAAGGCCTGCTGGCCTCGCTTTGGTGGTGCCATTGTTGTCGCTGTCCAGCTGATCGAACTGTTTATGCTGGCGTCTTTGTATCTTGTCTTATGCGCCTCGCTCTCAAGCAGTATATTTCCAGGGATACCGGTGTCCGATAAAATTTGGATGGTCATTGCAGCTACAGTTGGGTTCCCGACCATTTTCGTGAAGAATCTTTCACAGGCTGCATGGTTCAGTTTAGTGAGTGTTGTAGCTTTATCAGTAGCAGTAATAGCTGTCTTAGCTTTTGGCATAGCACATGGCTCTAAGTGGAATTTTAGCCTTACATTAGTCTGGAATATCGATGACGCGCCAGTCTCATTAGCAATTATAATCTTCAGCTACATTTGTCATCCTGTATTACCAGGAGTCGAGGAAAGCTTGCAAAACAGATCACAGTTCCGCAAGATACTTGCGCTATCTTATACATTCGTTGCAATCCTCAAGATCGTTTTTTCAGTTTGTGCTTTCCTGTCGTTTAGCCCAGATATTCTAGATGTGATTGTAAATAGCCTTCCCATGGGATTTCTACGAGTCTTTGTCAACGGATTTTTGATTTTAAACGTTCTCTTTTCATA